CTGTGTCTGTGATGGTGGCTGCCCTGGTCGCCCGGTGTGAGTGTAGCCATACAGTTGTTGTCTTCTGGGGAATGGCTGATTTCACTTTGCATCATTCCTCAAGGTTCGTCCATGTGGTAGCAACTGCCAGAATTCCTTTCCTTGTTAAGGCTGCATCACATTCCATTGTGTGGATTGAGCACATTTTGCACATCTTTCCCTAGTGCACACCTGAGTTACCCCTATACTTTTGACCACTGTGATTAATGCTGTCATGAACATGAGAGCCCAGGTGTCATTTGGAGACCCTGCTTTTAATTGTTTTGGCTTTATACCCATAGATGGAGTTGCTGGGTCACACGCTAATCCTGTTTAATTTCTTGTTCACCATAGCAATTGTGCCATTTTAGATTCTCACCAGTGCTGTGCAAGACACCCAGCTTCTCCACATTCCTACCCACACCTGCTGTTTGCTACTTTTCAGCAGTAACCATCCTAATAGGTGTGAGGTGGTTTTGATTTGCACCATCCTCATGGTCATGTTGAGTGTCTTGTGTATTTGTTGGCCATTTGTATATTTCTTCAGACAAATGTCTATTCAAGTCCTTTGCTCATTTTGGAATCGGATTTTTGTTGTAGGGTAGGAGTTCTTCATCAATCCTGGACCCCTTGTTAGATGTATGACCTGCAAGTATCTTCTTCCGTTGCCTTTTTTTTTTTTTTTTTTTTGACAGGCAGAGTGGACAGTGAGAGAGAGACAGAGAGAAAGGTCTTCCTTTTTTGGCCGGCGCCGCAGCTCACTAGGCTAATCCTCCACCTTGCGGCGCTGGCACACCGGGTTCTAGTCCCGGTCGGGGCGCCGGATTCTGTCCCGGTTGCCCCTCTTCCAGGCCAGCTCTCTGCTGTGGCCAGGGAGTGCGGTGGAGGATGGCCCAAGTGCTTGGGCCCTGCACCCCATGGGAGACCAGGAGAAGTACCTGGCTCCTGCCATCGGATCAGCGCGGTGCGCCGGCCATTGGAGGGTGAACCAACGGCAAAGGAAGACCTTTCTCTCTGTCTCTCTCTCTCACTGTCCACTCTGCCTGTCAAAAAAAAAAAAAAAAAAAGAAAAGAAAAGAAAAGAAAGAAAAGAAAAGAAAGTTCTTCCTTTTTGCCATTGGTTCACCCTCCAATGGCCGCTGCGGCCGGCGCGCTACGGCCGGCACATCGCGCTGATCCAAAGACAGGAGCCAGGTGCTTCTCCTGGTCTCCCATGGGGTGCAGGGCCCAAGTACTTGGGCCATCCTCCACTGCACTTCCTGGCCACAGCAGAGAGCTGGCCTGGAAGAGGGGCAACCGGGATAGAATCCAGCACCCCAACCGGGACTAGAACCCGGTGTGCTGGCGCTGCAAGGTGGAGGATTAGCCTAGTGAGCCACGGCACCAGCCCGTTGCCTTTTTCATTCTGTGTCTTGTTCCACTTAATGCATAATTTAAAACAATTTTTTATGTCATCCAACTTCCCTATGTTATCTTTGTTGCCTCTATTTTTGGTGTCATGTCCAAGAGATCATTTTTTTAAAAAGATTCATTTATTTATTTGAAAGAGTTACACAGAGAGAGAAGGAGAGGCAGAAAGGGGGGGTGTCTTCCATCCTCTGGTTCACTCCCCAATTGGCTGCAATGGCTGGAGCTGTGCCAGTCCGAAGCCAGGAGCCTCTTCTGGGTCTCCCATGTGGGTGCAGGGGTCCAAGGACATGGCCATCTTCTTCTGTTTTCCCAGGCCATAGCAGAGAGCGGGATCAAAAGTGGAGCAGCTGAGACTTGAACCGTCACCCATATGGGATGCCAGCACAGCAGGCGGAGGCTTTACCTCTATGCCACAGTGCTGGCCCCAAGGTCATTATTAAATCTAAGGTCATGAAGCTTCCCCCATATATTTTCTGCTAGGGTTTTGATAGTTGGCGCGCACATGGTGAGGCCTTTGATCCATTTTGAGTTGATTTTCAAATCCGGTGGGATCCAGTTTCCCCAACACTGCTGAAAAACTTGTCTTTTCTTCCAGGAATGGTCTTGGCACCCTTCTTGGAAATCACTTTATCATACATGTGAGGTGTGTGTGTGTGTGTGTGTGTGTGTGTGTCTGTCTGTCTATATCTCAGAACTGCCCTGTTTTGATTACTGTTTACTATAGTTTTAAAATCAGGAAGCGTGCATTCTCCAACTTTGTTCTTTATCAATATTGTCTTGGTCATTCAGGGTTCCTTGAGATTCTGTATGAATTTTAGGATAGATTTCAATGGATTTCATTGAATCTGTAAATTGCTTTGATGCTATTAATATTGTGACAATATTGAGTCTTCGAGTTCATGAACATGGGGATGCCTATCCAATTATTTGTATCTCATACAGTGTTTTGGAGTTTATAGTCTCTGGCTTCCTTGGCTATGTTTACTCCTAGATTTTCTTTAACATTCTATTTTATTTATTTGAAAAGGAAAGAGAGAGATCATCCATCCACTGGTTTATTCCCCTGATGATTGCAAGGGCTGGGGCTGAGCCAGGCCAAAGCCAGGAGCTTCATTCTTGTCTCCCACTGGGTACAGGCACCCAAGCAGTTGGGCCATCATCCACTGCTTTCCCAGGTACATTAGCAGTGAGCTGGATCAGAAGTAGAGCAGCTGGGACTCAAATTGGTGCCCATATTGGATGCCAGCATTGCAGGCAGCAGCTTAACCAGCTATGTCACAGTGCTAGCCCAGATGTTTTAAAGATTTATTATTATTATTATTTTTAATTTGAGAGGAAGTGGGGAGGACGTAGATAGAGACAGTTATGCAGAGACAGACAACTCCTGTCTGCTGCTTTACTCCTCAAGTGCCCCAGCCAGGGTTAGGGAACTCCATCCAGGTCTCTCACAAAGGTGGTAGGAACCCAAGTATTTGGGCAATAATCTGTCACCTCCCAGGCACATTCGCAGGGAGTCAGATCAGAAGTGGAGGTGGGATTCAACCCCAGGAACTGCCATAAGGAATGTGGACATCCCGAGTGGCATAAAAAACCTGCCCTAGGCAGGAGAATGTAATGCCCTGAACAGATGCTGTTCCAGCCAGGGCCGGAGATCGGTGGTAAGAGGAGGCAGATGTGGATCCAGGCACGTGGCTGGTATTTATCACAGCTACAAGGTGCGCCAGGCTCTGTGCTCAGCACATGTTCAGTCCAGTCCTTTAACCAATGAGAAAGCTTAAGGTTCCAAGAGGTGATGTAATCTGCCTGAGGCAGCACAGCCAGTAGCTACAGGGCCAGGATAGGGCAGCCAGAGCCACAGTGAGAACAGTGCTTGCAGTTTGACTTCCAGCTCTGTTCCTTTCCAGCTGAGTGACCCGGGATGGACCACTTTTGAACCTCAGTTTCCACATCTGTAAAATTGGACCAATTGCCTGAGCCTCCCTGTAGCGCTAGAGAGGCTGCCAGCCAAGCCCAGCTTGGAGCTCGCCAAGCCCGGAGGTTGGGAGCTGTTCACAGCGATGGTGCTGACTTAGCTGTGTGTGGTGAGGGCAGTGTGCCAGCTCTGCCATGTGCTTTTCCCGAGAATGTGGCCAGGGCTGCTCTGAGTCCTGTCTTCAGGAGGAAGGGAGAGACTGGGCCCACTTGCAGACAGGTGCGTTCATTTGCTGTGGAGGTGCCTGGGGTGGGAGCGGCTCAGGGCTTTGCTCCCTCACCCCCATGTTGGAGCCCTGGGGCTGGAGGCCGGGATCCTGGGACAGGCTTGAGGATCAGCTCTTTCCACTTGCTCAGTGTCACTGTAGGAGAACTGAGGTCAGAGAGGAAAAGCGCTTTGCCCAAATCTCAGGACGACTGTGGGTCATTAGGAGCCGAGATCCAGCAAGGCAGGAGGGTGTTCAGGCTGCCCCAATGTCCACTGCACAAGCAAGGGCATGGCTGCCCAGTGTGCTCTGTCCCCCATGCCTTGCATGTTGGAAGCCCTCAGGAAGTATTGGTTGAGCGAATGAGTCTGGTGAGAGAGTGCACACAGTCCACGGGGGTCCAGCCCCAGCTGGAATTCTGCTTGTGCTCCTGGCCGACTCCCTGGGCGAGTCACTTGCCCCTGCTTCCCTAAATATAATCACAAACCCACTTGGTGGGTGCCCAGGCAGGGGTCTGAACCAGGTCTACTGCATTTCAGGGCTGATTTTTTTTTAAAGATTTATTTGAAAGGCAGAGCTATAGAGCGGCAGAGGCAGAGAGAGAGAGAGAAAGAGAGAGAGCAGTCTTCCATCCACTGGTTCACTCCCCAGGTTGCCACAACAGCCAGTGCTGCGCCGATCTAAAGCCAGGAGCCAGGAGCTTCTTCCAGGTCTCCCACGTGGATGCAGGGGTCCAAGGACTTGGGCCATCTTCTGCTGCTTTCACAGGTCATAGCAGAGAGCTGGATCAGAAGCGGAGCAGCTGGCACTCAAACAGGCGCCCATATGGGATGCCAGCACTGCAGGCGGCGGCTTTACCCACTGCACCACAGCTCCGGCCCCAGGGCTGATTTTTAGCATGACACTCCCGGGATTCCCTTATCTACCTGCTTCATTCATTCATCCGCTCATTGGGAAGAGTTTCTTGAGCACCTGCTGTGTGGCAGGCGCTGTTTCTGGCTCTGTGTGGTCCAGCCATGAACAAGGCAGATGAAGTTTCGGCCCTGGTGGAACTTCTAGAACGGAGAGGCAGACAGTAAACCTGTCACAGGACAAGGGGATGGTGGGTGCTCTGAGGAGCTGAAGGGGGAGATGGGGAGGTGGGGAGGGCAGGGCTGCCTCCGGGAATGCGGTCGGGGAAGGAGACAATGTTCTGTGTGGCATCTGAAGAAAGCATCATTCCGCGGTGCAGAAAGCCTTGAACGGATAACGAGTGGGAGCCCAAGACCTGTCGTGGAGGGGCGAGGACAGTGGGGAGGGAAGCGATTAGCAGATTGTCCCAGGCCACCAGAAGAGGCTCATAGGGAGGGCACAGCCCCCCGGGCCCTTCCCCCTCCGGCTGCCTCTGCCTTCCAGGTGAAGCAGATCATGGAGGAGGCCGTCACGCGCAAGTTTGTGCACGAGGACAGCAGCCACATCGTCTCCTTCTGCGGTGAGTCCGCGGCCAGAGCCCTCGCGGATGGGGCGTCTTTGAATCAGGGCTCTCACATCAGCCTGGTTGGCTTTGCTGCTCCAAAGCCATTTTCTGATGGCATAGGGACTCTGGGCAGGCAGGGGAGGGGAGCTTTGGAACCAGGGAGGAGCGGGGAGGAGCGGTGAGCGGGGCTGCAGAGATCACAGCGGTGGGGATGGCTGTCCCCTCCCCGGGGGCTCTGTTTACACCCGAAGCCAGGAGTAGCCTCACCTCTTGGGAATGGGATCTGTGTCCCTTCCTGGCCCTGCCCGCAGCTATTGCTAAGTAAAGAGCGAGTGAGCATGTAGATGGAGACTTTTAAAAACAGAAAAGGGAATTAAGAGACACTGACCTTCCGTGGGATCACGTGTGGCTGGCTCAGCAAAGGAGCAGGCCTGGGGCTCAGGATGTGGGGTCCCATCGGGCCGGGACCCAGACATCTCTTCTTGACCCCTCTCTGCTCTGAAGGTTCCAGCAGTAACCGTGCTGCCAGCTCCTTTCTGTGCTGTGACAGTGGCTATACACACATGTGCTGTGTGCCTGCAGTTAGGACCCAGCCGAGAGCCCATGAGTGTGCAGAAGTGGGCCATTCGTTCCATTCTCCCTGCAGCATGCTTGTATCCTAACTGTCCGTGCACAGGAGGGGCAGGCCCAAATTCCCCACCGTGATCTTGGCCTTGAAGGAAAGGCCTGAGCCAGGAGATCTGGCCAGCCCTGTCGGCTCCCATGCGGATGGCTGGATGCCACCCCACCAGGACCCACAATGTGCTGAGCTCACTCTGTGACCTGGGGTGGGGGAGGCTGACCTGCCAAGCAGACCTGGGTTCAAATCCCACCTCTGCCACATCCTTGTGGGATTTTTCAAAAGTGAGATGTGTTTATTTAAACCTTTAAAAAGTTCTTGGGGAATGGACTTAAAAAATAAGTTATTTGTGGTGCAAGAAACACTGAGATCCATGCAAAGGAGGGGTCTTCAAAAAGTAGATGAAAAGTATGTCCTGTGAAAAAACTGCATGGATTTCAGCATTTCTTAAATCCAAAATAAACTTGTCTTTTAATTCCATTTTTCCACGAAGTTGTTCCAAGTGTTTTATATATAATATATGCATATACCAATGTGTATGTGCATACACACACATGGATGTTTAGGTATGACATATGTACGTGGAATTACATGTTTCCAACATTTAAATGTTTTTCTAGACATTTCTATTTGCAAATAAAATAATACGTATGTCCATGTCAGGACTTGCTAGCATACCTGCCCCTTGAAGTCTGAGGCGAATAGACAGTGATAAGAGGTGATAGTAATTGTGTCACTCTGGTGATGGCTTTGGGCTGGGAGAAATCTGACCACAGTGAATGAAGCCTGGAGAATTGCCTGCAGCTCTCTCTTATCTGTTGCTCCTTGCGAGCCATTGATGAAAAGCATTGAACGGCGTCCACAAACCTGAAGAACAGAGTCACTCATTTCCATATAAACAAATGAGAAGCACTGGGTATTAAATGTAAGAGAGCCCCACCCAGAATATTGTAAACCCACGGGCAGATCTGGCAATATCTAGACATCGGCTCAAAACCAAACTGTTGCTAACTCAGAGAAGACAAGCAGTTGACTCCAGACTTTTCAGTCTTCCTCCCCACCTGAGGCATGACCTTGGCCTAGCCCTTGGCCCCAGGAGCTCGCTGTTCTGTGAAGGGCCACTGACTGAGAGCCAGATCTCTCACTCTCTGGCTTTTGTCAGGGGGCATTAGACCAGGCAGATGGTAGCAGTTACGTGACACCAGCAGGTGCCCAAGACAGAGTAGCTCTTGTTAAACGCTCACTTTTCCTGAAGCATTGATTCTGCGCACAGCTGTATGAATGTGAGCTCCGGGTCTGCTGCGTACGACCACAACCAAGAAGAGACAGGGCTGTTGAAAGTGCCGGAAGTAAGAAATGGTTCCCTCGGGGCCAGACATCTCAGGAGAGCGCGCTGGCGCCCAGCGAGGGAAACTCATTGGTGACTTAGGGAGAGAGTCCACGTCTCTCTCTGAAAAGCGCTGGGCAAAACCTCCAGAGGGAGACCAGGAATGGGAAAATTAGGACAAAGTGTTCCCTTTAAAAGTCCTTTTTAGGAGCACGGACGTTGTGGCACGATGTGGGCTCAGAACTGAGTTTGAGTCCTGGCTCCATCACTCATTGGTTGGGTGGCCCTGGGAAACGCAGTTTTGCTTGCTGAGCCTCAGTCTTCACGTCTGATAGACGGGGATAACGTTCCTTTGTTCCCTGCCAGGGCAGAGAGTGAGTGGGATCCCTAAGTGTCAGCCCGCCCCATAAGGAGCAGCTTTAGTGATGATGTGATGAAGCCCAGCCGTCACGCGGCCCTGTCTCCCCTCGCTCTCCGACAGAAATGACAGCCACCGTCCGTGCTTTTCCCTACCGTGCTGTCCTGTGACTCTAGGGGTCCCCACTCTCCAGGGTGCTTCCTGTCTGACACGGTGCAGGGGCTCCTGGGGGTGGGGCGGAGCCCCTGACCGCCGGGTCCCTCATCCCCGCAGCGGCCGTGGAGGCCTGTGTGCTGCACGGGCTGCGGCGGCGGGCGGCCGGCTTCCTGCGCAGCAACAAGATCGCGGCGCTGTTCATGAAGGTGGGCAGGAGCTTCCCGCCGGCCGAGGAGCTGAGCCGCAAGGTGCAGGACCTGGAGCAGCTGATTGAGAATGCGTGAGTGTGGCGTGGGGGGTGCAGGCTGGGGCGGTCCCCCCGGCGACAGTGCACTTCCCTCTCCGGGCTCGGCAAGAGCTTGAGCCTCCTGGCACTCTCCTTTCTGCTCCTGAAACCCAGCAGACTCTCTCCCGCCTCAGGGCCTTTGCACATGCTGTGGCCACCTCCAGGCCGTCCTGGTCACCGATTCCTGGTTCCTCGTCACCATTCAGACCTCCCATGGCCAGAGAATTCCAACCCTTACTCCAACTTCTCTCCTTCTTTTTAAAAAAGATTTAATTTTTTTTAAAATAGAGTGACAGAAGGAGATATACACACATACAAACTCTCTCTCTCTCTCTCTCTAACACACACACACACACACACACACACATCTTACATCCACCTGTCAAAATCATGAGCCAAGAACTCCATCCTGGTCTCCCATGTAGGTAGCAGTGGCCCAAGTGCTTGAGCCATCACCTGCTGCACCCTGGGGACACTGGCAGAAAGCTGGGTCAGAAGTGGAATAGTGGGACCACCATCATGGTTAAGCTGCCACCAGTGACACTGGCATCCCATATGGGCACTGGTTTGTGTCTCGGCTGCTCCACTTCCGATCCAGCTCCCTGCTAATGCACCTGGGAAAGCAGTGGAGGATGGCTCAAGTGTTTGGGCTCCTGCACTCACATGGGAGACCCAGATGAAACTCCTGGCTCCTGGCTTTGGCCTGGTACACCTCCAGCACCAGCCATCGCAGCTATTTGGGGAGTGAACCATTGGATGGAAGACCTCTCTCTCTCTCTTCCTCTCTGTCTAACGCTTTCAAATAAATAAATCATTAAAATAGAAGCAGAACATCCAGGACTGTAAGTGGCACTTAAGTGTGAGATGCAGTGTTGCACATGGTAGCTTCACCAGCTGTGCCCCACACCTGCCCCATCTCCCCTGGGGTGCCACACTGTTTGTTTTCCTCCAGGGACCGTCACCGTCTGTAATCAGCCACTCACTTCATTGTTTACTTGGCCGAGGCCCCACTGCCCCCTTGGCCATGAACTCCACGTGAGCTGGCAGCCACATTGCGGTATTCCCCCATTAGGTGCCCAGCACCTGGACAGCATTGGGCACCTGGTAGAGGCCCAAGAAGTAGTGACCACGGCCTGTGGTAAATGCAAGATGGTCTCTTCTGCATGGACCAGAAGCTGGGGCCTCTGGCTCAGTCTCACTCTGGGGCGCCCACTGAGGGGCAGGGGTGATTCCGCTTGCTCGCCTTGGCGGCTGGTTGGGGAGGCTCATGGACTGAGTCGACGAGCAGGCGTCTACAGCCAGAGCCAGCCCCAGGGTCCCGACTGGACAGCCAAACCCCCAACCCGGGGCCAGGGTGGGGATGGCAGGTTGCTTTCCACTTCAGCTGGTGCGAGAGGCTGCCCAGAGACTGTGCCTGTGCATCCTGAGGAACCTCGTGGATTGATTGGTCATGTCTGTCATGGGCAGGGGAAGGAAAGAGACAGGCGAGCCCTGTGTTTGCCGTCTCTGCAATGGGTGATGTTCCTACTTCGCTGTGTGAGAAACAGCCCTTTCCCTGCCCGCAGGACCTGCCTGCCCCAGGGCTGCTGGCCAGAACTGTAGAGCTTGGGATTTGGCTCTGCCAGCTCCCGTGGGGAACAACCTCTCAGCCGCCTGGTCTTCAGATGTCTTCCAGTGCATTGGCTAAATTCCCAAGGATTTGCAGGTGTCTTTTTAAAAAAAAAGATTTTATTTATTTATTTGAGAAATAGAGTTACAGACAGTGAGAGGGAGAGACAGACAGAGAGAAAGGTCTTCTCTCCACTGGTTCACTCCGCAAATGACTGCCATGGCTCGAGCTGTGCCAATCCGAAGCCAGGAGCCAGGAGCTTCCTCTGGGTCTCCCACGCGGTGCAGGGGCCCAAGCACTTGGGCCGTCTTCCACTGCTTTCCCAGGCCATAGCAGAGAGCTGGATTGGAAGAGGAGCAGCCAGGACTATAACCAGGCCCCATATGGGATGCTGGTGCCACAGGCAGAGGATTAACCCACTGCGCCACAGCGCCGGCCCCTGCAGGTGTCTTCTTAAAGCATGGACTTCCATAATACAGGGGAGAGTCTTCCTGATGGAGGAATTAGAGCTGCTTGTGCCAGGTGGTGAGGGAGAACCACTCACACACTTGCCCCAGCACTTGTTCATGAACATACACACTGAGCCTTGTCCGTACGGCAGGCCCTGTGCAGGCCCTGGAGACGCAGACAGGAGGAGGGTCCATGCTCGCCACCTGGTAGACACTCAGCAGGAGTTTCACTTGGTCTCCACAGGTGGAGGGAGCAGGAATCAGCTTTGGCTGGCCTGGGAGGGCTGTCCACAGGGCTGGGCCACCCACGCTGAGCAAGGGGTCAGCCCAGGGATGGGGTGGGAAAGGAGGAAGAAACACCAGCCGTGGGAAGGCTGCAGGTGAGAGCCTCAGGGCTCCGCAGACGTCTCTGGGCAGGTCATGGGGTACGTGGGGCTAGGGGTCAGGAAATGCTGGGGAGGTGAGTGGAGCATGGTCATGGAGCCACTGGAGGAGCTCCAGCTGGGGAGGGTATGGAGCTATGGGGGAAGGCGAGGGGGAGATATTAGTGTGCCAGTCTGGCTGGGCCACCCACAGTATCTGAGTGTCTGTTTAACCACGTCTTCACACCCACGTAACCCATTTGCTAGCAGCAGTGTGGGCCCCTGTTTACGTTGCCAGTCCTTCGCTTCCCGAGAGACTGGACGTGTCCCATCTGCACGCTGACCCTGTGGGCTGTTTTTGTGAGTGTCTCTTCTCCTTTGTTGATCTTGAAGACGAAACCAGATCCAGGGCCTCCAGGAGAACGTGCGGAAGCTGCCGAAGCTGCCCAACTTGTCCCCGCTGGCCATCAAGCACCTGTGGATCCGCACGGCCTTGTTTGAGAAGGTCCTGGACAAAATTGTGCATTACCTGGTGGAAAACAGCAGGTGAGAAGGGCAGGCCAGACCTGGGGGGGTGCTCTGCTGCCACCTGCTGGCCTCCTGGGAATTGCACCTTCCTGCACAAAGTTGCCTGTTCTTTTTCTCCTTGACGCACACTTAAGTTAGACCATTTTTTAAAAAAAGATATATTTATTTATTTGAAAGTCAGAGTTACACACAGAGAAAAGGAGAGGCAGAGAGAGAGAGAGGTCTTCCATCTGCTGGTTCACTCCCCAGTTGGCTGCAACGGCTGAAGCTATGCCGATCTGAAGCCAGGAGCCTGGAGTTTCTTCCAGGTCTCCCACACGGGGGACCCAAGGGGGGCCCAAGGACTTGGACCATCTTCTACTGCTTTCCCAGGCCATAGCAGAGAGCTGGATCAGAAGTGGAGCAGCCAGGACTCGAACCAACGCCCATATGGGATGCTGGCGCTGCAGGTGGAGGCTCAGCCCTCTATGCCACAACACCGGCCCCTGACCATGATTTTTAAAATGCCTCCTGGATGTTTGACCCCAAGCCAGTCTTCTGTAGAAGTTTGGGCAGATGCAGGTGTTTCATAGCAGTGTAAGGTCTTCATTCTTAGGAAGGGATATACATATCTTGAATTTCTTCCTCCCCCCCATGGATTAAACTACGCAATAATTCTGTGGTCCTTGGAAAATCACTAAGTCTGTATCTCTTTTGGCAAATGAGACAGGAATCAATGCCATTCCAGAGGAGAAATGAGAAGGGAATTTTGTGAGAATGCAGCAAGTTAAAGCGCAGAGAAGTTTTTTCCTTTTGCTCAGCTTAATCTGATGTGAGGGTTTAAGAGTTTGAATCTTCTCGGCTAAGCATCTGTTCCTGCATTCACCCATCCAAAAAATACTTCATGACAACCTGCTGTGTTCCCTACCTCACCTGGGTGTTGAGGATACAGTGGTGATGGCTGTCACACTAAGGAGCTGCAGCAGTGTTACCATGAGAGCAGTGGGGAGCCACAGAAGAATCTGTGATCTGAGACGCCTCTAGCCCGAGAGAAGCAGAGACAGAAAGAACTACCTGAGAATCCCCCCATCTTTCAGTATAAAAAGTGCTTGTTTATCTTCGCACACACGTGGAAGAATTATTTAACATATTGCCCTGTGGTTGGCAAATATGTATGAAGGCACAAAGTCCCTCTCCCACCAAGCTCATGTTCCAGCAAGAAAACTGTCAAATACCGATTGTGATAATGGGTGTTGTATGTAATGGGTGTCGCAAGGGCCATGTGGTAGTGTCTGGACTCCTCCAGGTGGCCAGGGGGAGTACCTGGAAGGTGTCACTTTGAAGGGCATGAGGGATCAGGCAGGTGAACAAGATGGGGACAGGAGAGTTCCCAGTGGAGGGGACAGCAAGTGCAAAGTCTTGGAGGTAGAAGAAAAAAGAAAAGAAATCCAAGTTTTGTTAACTAGCTCTCCAGTGAGCCTTGTCCCTTCTAGTACATTGTGTATTGGTAGCTTATTTGTTACTACAGTGAGATGCCTGAGGCTACTAACTTTATAAAGAGAAAAAGTTTATTTAGCTCAAAGTTTTGGAGGGTCAAGTCCAAGGTCAGCCAACCCCATTGGTTAGGTATCTGGTGGGGAAGGTGGATAGTGATGGCAGAGTGTATGCTGAGGAAGGACCAGGTGGTGAGCCAGGAAGGAGAGAGAGGCTGGACCCAAAGCCAGGCTTTTCCAGTAACCCCCTGTAAGCACACACCCACCAAGGAACTAAGGGGCTCCTCCCACTAAGCCCACCTCCTGAACACCATAACTGAGTTAAGTTTCCACCTCTTAGTGACATTAGCTTATGGCTCTGGGGTTTAAGGTCCTGCGTAAGGTCAGGGGGCCAAATTCAAGCGGTAAGAAATTATTGTGGCCTCTGCCTCCTGCCCTGTGCATGGGCCTGCGCCTTTGGTTTTCCCTTTGATGTGTGGCTTTAGTTGCCTGCTGAATAACGCGGTGGGAAGGAATTAGTGATTTACTTGAGCAGCAATGTCAGCCTGCTCTTTTTCTCATCACACTTTTAATTTTGAATTTTAGTTTTGCTAAAATTGAAGCTGCCAAATTAGTACAGAGTGTGAGTCACCTACGTTGCGTAGTCTCAGTGCAGTGATCAAAACCAGGAAGCTGGTATTAGTAAAGCTTCCAGTAGTCAACCGCTAACTGAACTACACACTGTATTTGGAGTTCAGCACTTTTTTTTTTCTTTTTGACAGGCAGAGTGGACAGTGAGAGAGAGAGACAGAGAGAAAGGTCTTCCTTTACCATTGGTTCACCCCTCAATGGCCGCCGCGGCCGGCGCACTGCGCTGATCTGATGGCAGGAGCCAGGTGCTTCTCCTGGTCTCCCATGGGGTGCAGGGCCCAAGCATCTGGGCCATCCTCCACTGCACTCCCGGGCCACAGCAGAGAGCTGGCCTGGAAGAGGGGCAACCGGGACAGAATCCGGCGCCCCGACCGGGACTAGAACCTGGTGTGCCGGCACCGCAAGGCGGAGGATTAGCCTAGTGAGCCGCAGCGCCGGTCGTTCAGCACTTCTTACATGCACCCATTTTCCACTTGGGATTTGGCTGTGTAATATTTAATATAAATCCTTTCTTGTGGCCAGCACCACAATTAGAATACAGAATGGTTCGTTTCCAAGACACTTTCTTGAGCTCCCTTTTAGAGTCACATCTTGTCCCCAGCCCTGCCTGCTATTTTTTGAAAAGTTTTATTTATTTGAGAGGCAGAGAGACAGAGACAGGCAGGCACGGGGCTCCCATGTGCTTGTTGGCTCCCCAAATGCTTGCAATAAACAAGTCAAAGCTTGGTGTCAGGAACTCAATCCAGGCCTCCCACGTGGGAGGCAGGGACCCAACTGCTTGAGCCATCACCACTGCCTCCTAGGATGTCCAGAAGCTGGAGCTGGGTCTTGAACCCAGGACACAGCTATCTTAATGAGCATCTCCACCACTAGGCTAAATGCCCATCCCCTGGCTGTCTTTGAAGGTAACATCCCTAAGGCTAACGCTGGCATAACTGTGTTGAGTGTTGGCATAGAAACTGGGTAGCAGTGAAGTGGGGAGTGGCTTGAGTACCAACTTTAGATCTGACACCAAAATGTGCAATGTTGATGATGAGCCAGTCTGGGGCTTGTCAAATCTGGATCATCTAATACCCTGGGTGATAGATTTCTCTGGGGTAAGAGTACAATGATGTTGCTACCATTTAGTGAGGATTTCCTGGCTGGGAGCTCTGTACTGTTGTTAACAGAGTGGACATCGTTGATTTCTTTCAGCAACCTGGGCAGGTGAATTCTGTCATTCTTCCTGTTTTACTACCAAGGACACTGAAGCCCAGAGATGTCAGGTGACTAGCCGGAAGCCACACAGCAAGCTGGGCAGTAGCTGAGCTGGGCTCCCACCCATTCGGACTCCAGATCCTGCTCTTTGATGGCAAGAGCCATGCCGGCTCAATGTTGCCCAGTCTGCACCTGCCTGCTGTGTGGTCTCGAGCAAATCACTTTACCTTGCTGGGCCTGAGATCTCGGGGAAGTCAGAACGACCTTGAAATTCCTGTAGTTTCTAGAGTGCATGGATTTTAATGACTTAGGAACCTCCACACTATAACATAAAACCCCCAAATCATCCACTGGTGGGTTCAGCAGGCTTCTCATTGCTTGTCTCACTGCTCTCACAACGGCAATGTCACAACGGCCCGTTAAGCAGGTGCACACAGGTGCTGTGCCAAATGCCTTTCATCTCTTGTTTCTCTCAGAAGTCCTTCAGATAGCCCCATAAAACTCCTGTTATTATTACCCCATGTCGCTCCCCCTCTTCGTGGAGGAACGACACAGGACCCTGCGCTGTTCTTTTGTCTGCTCGGCCCTTCCCGGGTTTGCTGCTGGTTCTTCCCGGGTTGGCTGCCGTCCCTCCACCTCCGTGGAAGGGCGGTTCCCCCTGCCACTTTCCCCACTTCCGCAGGGGAGCGGCACACCGCTGGCCGGCTCTCTCGGGGGCTGCTCAGATGTTCCTCAGGTGTTCCTGGTGCATGTTGTCTCTCTCCTCCTTTATAGTCCTCTTCCGCCAATCCCAACTCGGCTGCCCACACGCCGAGTACGCTGCTCTCCTCCAATCAGGAGCAGGTCCTGCAGTTTATTGGTTGAACTGGAGGCAGCTGTGTAGAAGCTGTTTCCTCCTCTCCCAGCGCCATATTGTGGGAGAGCAGATGCATAGAATAAGTCTTAACTCGAGTAACTTAGTCTAGTCCGAGTTGCTCCCCACAACCCCATCTGTAAAAAGGGATTACTAAGCATAATAATAATCAGTATTAATTATACAAGAATTACAGTAGCAGCGGAGGCTTTGAGTTGTCCCTGGGGATTGAACCCAGTCTGTCAGTGTGTGCCCTCTGCTGGTCTCCCCCCAAACCTGCGTGTCCTTTCCTGTGTTGCTAGTAAATACTATGAGAAGGAAGCTCTCCTGATGGACCCCGTGGACGGCCCCATCCTCGCGTCCCTGTTGGGTGAGTGGGCAGGTGCTCAGGGGCAGCTCCCGAGGGCCCCTCCGCCCTCAGTCCAGCCTCACCCAGCAACTCCTACCTGTTGCTCGCTGTCCCTTGCTCCTTTGTTCTGGCCTCTTCTCTGGGGGACTCTCGAGTGTCCTCCCTGCCTGGCGGGAGGGGTAGTGAGACGAAGGTGTGGCCCATCTGGTGGTTAGATGGGAGGGTGGACTTTTGGGAGCTCCGATTCCCAGCCCCCATGTGCTCTGCAGTGGGGCCTTGCGCCCTGGAATATACCAAGATGAAGACCGCTGACCACTTCTGGACGGACCCCTCGGCCGACGAGCTGGTCCAGAGGCACCGCATCCACAGCTCGCACCTGCGGCAGGACTCGCCCACCAAGCGCCCGGCCCTCTGTGTGAGTCGCTGGGCAGTGGGGCCGTGGGACGGACTTGCGTCAAGGCTTGGACTTGGCCTTGGGTGGGTGGAGGGTGGAGAATGGGACAGGGGCCCTAAAAGTCACTTCAGGACTTGTCCCTGCTCCCTGTTGGTACCCAGATCCAGAAGAGGCATTCAAGTGGTAGCATGGACGACCGGCCATCCCTGTCTGCCCGTGACTATGTGGAGTCCCTGCACCAGAACTCCCGGGCCACCCTGCTCTATGGCAAGAACAACGTCTTGGTTCAGCCGGTGAGAGTTCGTGCCGGGCTCTGGCTCCAGGTTATGTAACCCAGGTTCCCTCTGGCTCCAGACTGCACATCCATTTATCTGTCCCTCCAGCCACCTGCTCACTCATCTGTCCCTTCCTCCATCTGCTAACACCCACCTGCCCATGATGCGTTCACCCATCTGCCCACATCCACACATTCATTCATCTGTCAGCCAGTATCTCCATTCATCCAGTGATGCACCTGTCAGTGTCTCCTTCTGTTCCTCCATTCATCCACCCAGCCACCCATCTATCCACCAGTTGGCTGTCTTGTTCTCTATATCCCCCATCCCTCTATTTATACATCTGCCCATCATTCATTCATCCGCCTGTCTATACTTATATCCAACCATTCATCTGTTGGCCATTGTCTCCGCCCATCCATCCATCCGTCAGTTCATTCCTTCTTCCTTCCTTCTCCCATCCACCTGCCCACCCATCCACCTACCCATTCATTTTAGTGTGCTTATTTTCCAGTTTATCTACCCACCCACTTGTCTATCCAGCCTTTTGTCCATCTATTCACTTTTTTTTAAAGATTTATTTAGTTATTTGAAAGAGTTATACAGAGAGAGAAAGAAAGGCAGAGGGAAAGAGAGAGGGGTCTTCCATCTGCTAGTTCCCTACTTGGCCACAGTGGCTGGAGTTGTGCCGACCTGAGCCAGGAGCCAGGAGCTTCCTCTGGGTCTTCCCACTGGGTGCAGGGGCCCAAGGACTTGGGCCATCTTCTACTGCTTTCACAGGCCCCAGCAGAGAGCCAGATCGGAAGTGGAGCGGCCGGGACTTGAACCAGCACCTATACGGGATTCCAGCACTGTAGGCAGTGGCTTTACGCACTATGCCACAGCACTGGCCCCCATCTATTCACTCTTACTCTCTGATTTGTGTGTTAGGTGCTCAGTTCTAAGGATTATCATCTTCTTGACTAATACTTAACAAGCACTTTGACTGTAGCCTGCACTGTGTGGAGTGCTTTGGACTGTATTACCTCATTTAAACTTCCTAACACCTGTTGGAGGCAGGTGCTGTCATTGTTGATGATAATATGGAGGCCCATACCAGTGAAGTAGGAGGCAGGGTTGAGAGTTGAATTTGGGCCAGCCAGTGCCAGAGTCTAATCCATTCACCAGTTGCCCTCTATTCCCCAGCATCCAGCCAGGTGCCAGGGATGGGTGGCAAGCAAGGCACCTGTAGCCCCCCACTCGGGCAGTGTCCCCTTTGACTGTCCCTTCCTGTGGGCCCTCTGGTCGCAGGGTCAGTGTGGTGTTTGGCCTCAGCTGGGAGGAAGCAGAGGGAGGCAGCCACTCCAGCTCTGCTCTTTGAGTTTCAGCCATTGGCTCACCCTCGGCAACTCTCTTGTCCCTCTGGGCCTCAGTGGATACCAGACCCTATTTCCATAGATCTTAGGAGCCAAGAATGAGAGATGCATCATTTTTAATGTGACCATCAAGAAATTAAAAAGTCTATTTAGATCATGTAGTTTTTCACTACTTAGGAATTTTAGCTTAACCTTTTTTGTTTGTTTATTTATTTATTTATTTGACAGGCAGAGTGGACAGTGAGAGAGAGAGACAGAGAGAAAGGTCTTCCTTTTTCCGTTGGTTCACCCCTCAATGGCCACTGCGGCCAGCGTATCTCGCTGATCCGTAGCCAGGAGCCAGGTGTTTCTCCTGGTCTGCCTTGCAGGTGCAGGGCCCAAGCACTTGGGCCATCCTCCACTACCTTCCCGGGCCATAGCAGAGAACTGGACTGGAAGAGGGGCAACCGGGACAGAATCCGGCGCCCTGACCGGGACTAGAACCTGGTGTGCTAGCGCCGCAGATGGAGGATTAGCCTAGTGAGCTGCGGCGCCCGCCAAGCTTAACTTTTTTTGAAAGAGCTCTCGGAGACTTAGTTGGACATAGGAAGAGTCTTCCAGAAGTCCACGCACACATATGTTATGAGAAAGCTGTGCGTGGGCTTTAACAGTTTTTTGCCCCCAAATGAACTTACTTTGTAATTTATTTTCTCCTTGAACTTTTTGAAGTACCCTTGGTTTTATTCTTGTTTTTGTTGTTGTCGTGTTTTTAAAAATTTACTTATTTATTTTTTTGAAAGAGAGAATGAGATATTCCATGTACTGGTTCATTCTTCAAGCGGCTACAATGGCCAGGGCTAAGCCAGGCTGAAGCCAGGAGCTAGGAGCTTCATCCAGGTCTCCCATGTGGGTGGGTGCAGAAGCCCAAGCACTTGGGCCATCCTCAGCTGCTTTCCCAGGCACATTAGCAGGGAACTGGATCAGAAGTGGAGCAACCGGGACTCAAACTGGTGCCCATATGGGATTCTGGTGTTACAGACAGCAGGTCTGCCTGTGTCATTTTCTGTTCCATCAACGGAAGGGATCAACACACCATAGTCCATGGGCTAAATGTGGCCCTCCAGCCATGTTTGTAAATAAAGCTTTATTGAGACACAGCCACACCATTAGTGTGAAGGTGCTTCCAGGTTACCATGGCAGAGGTGTGTGGTGTGGCTCACAAAGCTGAAAACAATTCCCTCTGTGTCCCTTTCCACAACAAGGATGGTGACCTGTGAACCAAGTGCACCGGAAGTGCAGCATTTCTCGCGAGAGTGCCCTCTCTTGTCTCTGGGCTGAGCCTATATCCCGTAAAGTACTTAGTTGCTGGTTTTATGAGGAAACCTGGAACTGTGGGCGTCCCCGCGGGGAGGAACAAGTGCCTGTTTTGCCAATATCACATCAGCACTCGGCTGCTCTGTCGCCAGCCTCTCTGCGTTCCCAGTAGCTTCCCTAACGCAAAGCCGAATCCCACTCTGAGCTCTCTGAAGATGCTTAAGATAGCAGCCGTGCTGCGCGGGCGAAGGCAGAAGCACGCAGCAAATGTGACCGCGGCGAGGACAGTGCGAGCAGCTCTGAGTGTGTGGGGGCTCAGGCGAGGACAGCACGTCACAGCTGTGTGTGGCCGCTGATGACAAGACACACGCCCATTTCAGGGACAGTAGGATGGGAGCAAACGAAACGGGTGTCTTGGGGCCAGTGCAGTGCTGCCGTGTTCCCCTGTGGCGGGTCCAGCACGGGTGGTCGCGTGGAGGCAGTGCGTGGGAGAACTGAGCCCTGCACAGTGCACGCCTGGTGCTCAGTACATGTCCGTTGTGCTTGCTGTGGGGAATTGGCGGAGAGGCTGCCTCCTCTGTGCGTGAGGGGTGGGCACGTTGCCTGTCCCCCTGGAGCTGGAACAGAGCAGGAAGGAAATCCTATAGGTAAATTCTGGGATGGCAAGAGGTCTGGCTTGGGGGCAGGGTTGGGGAGTGTGTGGGGGGGTGTTTGGCAAAGAGGGTGGTGGGTAGTATCTGTGGGGTAGGTCACAGAGCTGCCATTTCTTTCTCCCCGAAGGCTTCTGCTTTGCACAGGGTGATGGGAAGAGGCACACAGCCCCTGTCTCGGCTCTAAAAAAAAAAAAAAAAATTTGGAGGAGGTCCCCATAACCTCAGGAGGAGTACCATCGCAGGTGCACTCTGCACAGCCCATCCTGGAAGGCTGGCTGCCAGCAGTCCTGCTGTGCACAGCTACCTGGGAGGAGGTGTAGGGACCTGCACTTGGCTGGGAAAGGGGCAGCCCCGCCTCTCCGATCCAGTTATGCATCCTTGACTTAACGAGACCAGGGCCCTTGCCTGCCGCGACTCCAGCCCTGCAGCCAGGCCTGAGTCTCCTCCTCTCTCTGCAGAGGGATGACATGGAGGCTGTGCCGGGGTACCTGTCCCTCCACCAGACGGCTGACATCATGACCTTGAAATGGACGCCCAACCAGCTGATGAATGGGTCTGTGGGGGACCTGGACTATGAGAAGAGGTAGGCCCTGAGTCCGTCATGTGTCCCCTGCTCTCTTCTGGTCTCTGCTTGCTTGAGTGGCCACCTGCTGTGGCCTCACGGATCACTCAGACGTGCAGGAAGACCCAGAAACCAACTGGAAGCATCTTAGCGTTTAGGAGTTAGGTGGTACCCAGGTCAAAACCCCAGCCAAAGAGAGAAATCTTCACGAAGATCTAAGGCTACAGATGGCAAATTACTCCCCAGTGTTCTGTCACCCTCTCCTTCACTTGGTAGAAACAGGAGCTGCAGTGGTTAGCAGGACCTAGCCCGGGGCTGCAGTGTCTGGGAACCCAGCCACAGCTATGGAGTCCCGCCCGCCCGAAGGAAATGTGGGGGCGGGGTTCCCTGCTGCACGCCTGTGTCTTAGTACCACCCCGGGAGCCTTTAGGAAGAACCAAGTGCAGCCACAGGCCAAGGTGAAGCCGGCCCAGCCTCTGGTGGGGAGGGGGAGCCATGGTTTGAGCTGCTCCAAGTCCACATTTAGTCCTAGTTTTCTTTGCTCTTTAAAAACAAACAAAACATGTCATGATGAAGAATTAATGTAAAAACAGAACTGGGGTTCCTGACACTCTACCCCCTTCCCTTGCAGACATCATGTGATTTAACAGGAAATAAGTATTTGAGCACATAGGCACGCGTGTGTCATAAAGAAATGACTCTTTGCAAGGAACGCAAGGAACGTCCTTGTCGTGATCTGTTTCCTGTTAGCCTCGGGGGAGTGGCGTCCGTCTTGGAGTGAGTGATGGTGCTCACTAAGCTGCTCACTTCCTGTTGGGCAGCGTCGTTGGGCCCCACTCCTGCCAGACTCTGGGATTTCCAATCAGGAGGCCCTAGGACCGAGGAGGTGCTGTCAGCCTGGAGAGACAGACAGAGAGGCTCCCATCTGCTGGTTCACTCCCCCAAATGCCTGCAGTGACCAAGGCTGGGCCAAGACCATAGGTGGGAACCAGGAATTCAGCATGAGTCTCCCATGTGGGTGGCAGGAACCTGATCACTAGAGCCCTCACCACTACCTGCTGAGATCTGCATTAGCGGGAAGCTGGGGTCGGGAGCTGCAGCTGGCACTCCAGTGTGGGACACAGGCATCCTAATGGGTATCTTTTTTTTTAAGGATTTATTTATTTATTTATTTGAAAAAGTTACACAGAAAGAGGAGAGGCAGAGAGAGAGAGAAAGGTCTTCCATCCACTGGTTCACTCCCCAGATGGCTGCAATGGATGGAAGGCAGGAGCCAGGAGCTTCTTCTGGGTCTCCCACACAAGTGCAGGGGCCCAAGCACTTGGGCCATCTTCTGCTGCTTTCCCAGGCCATAGTAGAGAGCTGGATTGGAAGTGGAGCAGCCGGATCTTGAACTGGCACCCATATGGGATGCCAGTGCTTCAGGCCAGGGCTTTAACCCACTGTGCCACAGCATCGGCCCCCTAATGGGTATCAACCTCCAGGCTGAATGCCCACGCCAGAAAAGCAGTGTATCTGCCGTGTTGGACCCTTGAAATGCTGTGATTCTATTGCATCCTCACAGCACCATGAGGCAGGTGTTGGAATAATGTCTATTTTGTAGAGGAGGAAACTGAGGCTCAGAGAAACCCTCAGGCTGCACTGCTGGGACTTCTGAGGTCAAGCCTTTTGAGTGCCTCTTCTGCTTCCTGTCCAGGGACGGTGGTGTGGCGTTATTAGAGCTGGGTTGTTCAAGTCTCTTACATGTCAGCCACAGAAAACCAAACTCAGGATGACGTAAGCACTGGCTCACTTGGCCAGCAAAACCCAGGGGCAGGGGTTTCGGGCATGGTTGTATCCAAGGACTTGAGTGATGGGGAGCTGAACACTTCCCATCCCTGGCTTTCCGTCCATTGGTGCCGTTCTCTGGCAGGCTTTCTATTGCCACGAACCCTGCCGTCTCCAAACTTCCTGCCACTACTCTCCCAGCAGTTCTAACGCAGATCTAACCATCGAGTCTCACTGGTTTTGCTTGAGCCCTGGGGCCATCTCTGAACCAGTCACTGTGGCGGGGGTGGTGGCACAGGCTGATTGGCCAGGTCTCAGGCGACCACTCCGGGAGTCTGGGGGTGAAGGGTTGGTGGGGATGGTCTCACCTTAGCCATACGGAGCAGGAGAGGGTGGTTGCCTCAGAGAATTGGGGTGCAGGGACCAGAAGAAGGAGGGAGAGGCCGGATGGGCTGGGACAGGTGTGTTGGGGATGGGAGAATCCTGGGAGAAGGATGAAGGAGCCCGTGGGTGTGGCCGTCTGCCTCCTGAGCCCTCCCCACAGTGACGTAAGCAATCATCCCGCAAACTTGAGCCTCCCTCCCCTTCCAGCGTCTACTGGGATTATGCCATGACCATCCGCTTGGAGGAGATTGTCTACCTGCACTGTCACCAGCAAGGTAGGGACTGTGGGGGCAGCCCGGGGCTGGCTAGGGGTCCTCTCGGATCTCCTGCCAGCCTCCATCCCTACCCACTCATTGGCATCATGGGCAGCCCATGTTACCTGTGCAGTCCAGGCTGGTGTCTTCACCTCTCTGAGCCTTGGCACCCCCATCTGTAAAATGGGTGTCCTAACAGCACCTTCTCATGGGGTTGCTGTGAAGATCACATGATGTATCAGAATGTTCACGGAAAACCGGAATTCAAAGATGAGTTTCTTTTGCTGCCAACATGTTGAATCCGTGCAGTTTACTTTATAACGTGCGTCTTCCTTGAACTCTGCAAGGACTCCGATGTGCCTGGATTTCAACATGTTGGCAGTGAAATAAACTTATCTTTATTCAATTTTCTATAAGCTTTTTGAAGTACTCTTTGTATGGTACGGGCTCAGTGTCAAAGCCACGTTTGATGTTGGTGGCTGGCGTTTATTGAACATTTATAATGTGCCGAGCACGGCTCTAAGTGGTTGCCTGCCTGTTGCTTAATTGTCACAGCATCCCACTGAGAGGGGTGACGTCACGTTTTAGAGGTGAGGAAGCAGCACAGTGCAAAGTAGCACAGCCTGCGACTTCCAGAGCCCGGACTTGAACCCAGGTCTTTGCGACTCTAAACTTAGTACTCTGAAGATCTGAGACCAGTAGTATGTGCTCCTAAAGTCAGAGGGAGGAATGGCCAGCACGGCAGAGGGCAAGGCAAGGCAGGCTTGAAACACAATGGGTGAAGCCTTCGTAGGGAGACAGACCTGGGGTCAGACCCAGGCTCTGCCTCCTCGTCGGCTGTGTGATCTCCAAGAACTTCCTCAACCTCTCTGAGCCTCCGTTTCATCGGGGATGTTGTGTTGCAATGAGACGGTGCCTTTAATGTGCTGTGCTTGTATACAGTGAGTGCTTAGCACCTGCTAGCCAGAGTCAACTACTGCCCTGAGCAGGGAAAAATCTGGAAGCCTCCAAACATAAAGGGGGCGGGGGGTGGATTTGTAGAAGATTCTTGGGAACATCTGGTGCCTTTGGTGGCTGACTGTGGGGAGACCACCCATGCCCTTGTCGACCCTGTCCTGAAGTCGACTCCCTGGCCCAACCTCTCAGGCCTTTCCCAGAGCCTTGGAGTGGGACCCCGGGTCTGGCCTGGCACCCCAGGGGCATGTGCTTGCAGGGAGGGCCCCGTCACTGTGTCTCCTAGTGACTTCCCACTGGGTCTCCTCTGGCCGGTCGCCGCGGCAGTGGACAGCGGCGGGACGGTGGTGTTGGTCAGCCAGGATGGCATCCAGAGGCCGCCCTTCCGCTTCCCCAAGGGCGGGCACCTCCTGCAGTTCCTCTCGTGCCTGGAGAATGGGCTGCTCCCCCACGGGCAGCTGGACCCCCCGCTCTGGTCCCAGCGGGGGAAGGTGAGTGACCTCGGGGAGGCCCGGGGAGGCTGGGGCTGGGGGCACTGGAGGTTCTTCTCACCTCTGCGCCTGGGTGTGGCTTTGTGGGCCTGCACACACCCTGCTGAGCCCCTGGGCTGTGTGCAGGGTGTGGGGCAGGTGGGACAGGTGCGTTCCCGGGGCCGGGGGAGGGAACCCTGCATGGAACCTGTGCTTTCAGGGCAAGGTGTTCCCCAAACTGCGCAAGCGAAGCCCTCAGGGCTCTGCTGAGTCCACGTCTTCGGACAAGGAGGACGACGAGGCCACGGACTACGTGTTCAGGATCATCTACCCTGGCATGCAGTCGGAGTTCGGTGAGCTGCCCCATCCCCAGGTCCCAGCATCCCGGGATCCACCTGCACCTGCCCCTGAACCCAACTCCAGTGGTTGGAACTAGAAGATGAGAGGTCTGGATTCTGGGGCCAGAGTAGGGGCTGGGAAGCTGGAATCACGAGGTTTGTATCTGGACAGCTTTGGTTTCCCCCAGAGGAGAGCAATGACCACTGTGTACTTGGCTACCACAGAAGCCACTGGACAAAGGGTGCCAGGGCCTGGGCCTGGGTTCTGGGTCCTGAGTGGACTTGAGCGAACTCTTCCCAGGCAGTGCCTCAGTTTCCTCATCTGAAAAGCGGGGGTGTTTGTAGCCCTGATCTTGCAGGGTTGTTGTGAGGACTAAGAGAGAGAAGACGTGGAGATCTCTGATGTTAGCTGCCATCAGAGTCACTGTTGTTAATCTTCGCTAGGGCTCACTGTGGCAAGGATGCAATGAGAGGACGAGGTGGTCAGTGTCAGGTGCGTGGACTAAGGCTTGCACACAGTAGGCCCTCAGGAAGTGGTAGAGGAGCTAGCAAGGGGAAGCAAAGCACTAGGCACCAGCACCCGAGATGCCTGAGGTGCGGGGCAGTTTGCATGTGATCGCATGAGACAGGCGGATGCTTGGCTGATGGAAGCAGCCTGAGGTCCTCCTCGTCATGGGACTGCCATGAGGACTCAGTGAATATGTGAAAAGGGCTCAGAAGTGGGTGTGGCATTTAGTAAGCACTGTCTGTTAGTGAGCACTGGGCTGTCTGTTGAGTCAGCCTCGATTTCTAGGCCTTTCTGTGACCCTCGTTTGATTTCGCCCTCTGCGCCCTGTTGGTCCCCCTCAATGCCCAGGAGCTCTGAGCCTCCCTTTGCTTACATGGCCACGTGCTGGGCAGCGGGAGGCTCTTTGGGGAGCAGACATCCTGTGTCGGCAAGGGCGGATGCGTGGCTCTGGGCTGCTCACTGTGGCTGAGTGGGATCTGGGGCGTGGGGGCGGGCTCGGGGTAAGGTCTCAGTGTTTCCAGGTTACCTGTGCCTTCCCCCGTGGTGCTTCCTCAAGGCCGGTCCCCAGCAGAGCCTCGTGTTCCTGTATCGCTTCCGTGCTCCACGGTGTCGTGAGCATTCATCGCCTTGTCTGTGCCGGTCCCCTATGAGGTTGTGGTGTCCCCCCGACTGGTCCCTCCATGGTACTGGGGCTCACATGGCCCTGGCCCTTACAGCAAGGCTATTCTGGCCCCAAACATCAAAAAGGCTCCATTGGTGTGGGTGAAATCCCCCCTGGTGCTGAGCTGGCTTCTGTTCCCGGAAAACCTGAGCCTCCCACCCCACACAGACTAGCTGGAGAGCTGGCTCATCAGAGTGGGCTGGAACCCCTGGAGCAGCCTTCCCAGCAGGGCCTCCTGCAGGCCCTCTCTGTATGCCCGTGCTGGGAGCCAGGCTGGCACTGCAGGCTTTCCCTGTGTGGGAAAAACCCCTGCTATCCTGTGGTGGCTTCGTGGGGCTTGACGTTAGCCAGCAGGACACGCACCTGCTGTGCCCACCCACACCTCTTGGCACTTCCTGTCTCATGCATGCCATTCAATCCAGAAGGGTTTCTCTGGCCACCAGGTCCCTGCTCCCCCCAGGCAGCATGTACTGGAAGCGTCAGGGAGTCGGTGCGTGCCTGGAGCAGCCCTCGGCCCATGACGGACAGGGTTGGTGTAAGAACACCTCAGCTCCCTCGCCCCTGCGTGAGCCAACTCTGAGATGTGTGTGCTGCACAGTCTCCAGGAGGCAAAGCCCTATTGCTGGCCACTGCCCCTTTATGCTCTGCCTTTTCTTCCCTGTCTTCTCTCACCTGCCCGTTTCTGGTGCCTTTGGGAATACCTCCCAAATAACCGACTTGCCCTTGGATCCTGTCTGCCTTTGGGGAAACCGAGCTAAGTCGATGTCTTTAGAACAGGGCTTCTCAGCCCTAGCACTGCTGATGCGTTGGATAGAAGAATTCTCGAGTGGTGGGGGCTGTCCTGGGCATTGGAGGGTTGAGCAGCATCTCTCGTCTCTGCCCGTGAGAGGCCATGAAGCAAACCCAACCCTCTGCAAGTTGAAATGGTGAGAAATGTCTCCAGGCATTACCCAGAGTCCTCTGGGTGCCCCTGCTTGGGACATCATGGAGTCCAGCCCTACCGCAGAATTGGACACGAAGACTAGTCCTCTCCAGATTGCATCCCCTTGTGTGCGGAGTGAGCGTTGATGATACCCCCATCCAAGGTCGTACTCTGAGGGCTCAGTGTATTATAATATATTTTTGATAATATATTTTTCCGAGGAAGAAACTGGAACACAGAAAGGAGAAGCAACTGGCTAATTCTTGTCATGGCTAGGATTCGAATGCCTGGGCCTTTAACACCCCCCCACACCGCCCCACCGTGAGCATAACGCGCTCACCAGATTTTGAAAACTGTGCAGAAAATAATGTAAAATATTTATAATTGTACATTGAGATGTTGAAGGGATAACTTTTATATATATATATATATATATAGAGAGAGAGAGAGAGAGAGAGAGAGAGAGAGAGTTAGACCCAATATATTGTTGGGATTGATTTCACCTGTTTGTGTTTACCTTTTGAGTGTGGTTACTGGAAGATTTTGAATGACACATGTGGCTCGGTCTTGTTTCTGTTGGACAGTGTTGATCTGGTGCTGTGTTTCTCGGCCTCAGCTTTGTTGACAGCCTGAGCCAAATTGTTCTTTGGGTGTGTGTGGTTGTCTTGAATGGGTAGGATGTTGGGCAGTATCTCTGGCTTCCGGCCACTGGATGCCAATGACATCTTGATAATCCCCCGGGTTGTAACAATGAAGAATGTCTCCAGACAGTGACATAATTGCCCCTGTGGCGCACCAATGGTGTGGGGGAGATAGCAGCTGATGGGAAAGCTGCGGAGGGAGTGAGAATGGCTCTCAGGGACAAAGCCTCTGGGCTAGATTCTCAGCTCCACTTAATAGCTTGGTGGTCTTGGACTTGCTTAAATCCCCTATGCCTCAGTTTTCTAATGTGTGAGAGGGGATAATGATAGTAACTGTGATTAGTAAGTGGGTGCAAGATGTTATTAGTGGAAGGAGAAGGGGGACTTCTATCAAAAAGACCACATGGGCCGGTGTCATGGCTCACTTGGCTAATCCTCCACCTGTGGCACCAGCACCCTGGGTTGTAGTCCCGGTTGGGGTGCCAGGTTCTGTCCTGGTTGCTCCTCTTCCAGTCCAGCTCTCTGCGGTGGCCTGGGAAGGCAGTGGAGGATGGCCCAAGTGCTTGGGCCCTGCACCCGCATGGGAGACCAGAAGGAAGCACCTGGCTCCTGGCTTCGGATTGGTGCAGCACCGGCTGTAGCAGCCATTTGGGGGGTGAACCAACAGAAGGAAGAACTTTCTCTCTGTCTCTTTCTCACTATCTAACTCTGCCTGTCAAATAAATAAATAAATAAATAACCACATGAGCCAGTCACTACCTGGTGGGGCTTTGGGTGATTCTAAACCTCAGTTTCTCCTTCTACAAAATAAGAAATGTATCCCTTGCAGGTCGCATAGGTAAACCCTTGCCTAGCCAGGCACTCAGCATGTGATAGGCACTGTTTAATATCAGCATTTTAACTCTACTCAAACACAGTTTGCGTGGGAGTTGCGTGAAGCAGTACAGAGGAAGGGTTTGAGTCCCGGGAATCGGTTCGTGTAGCTGTTCCAGTGTTCCGTCCGCCTCACTCCCGCCTCACCAGTTCTCTTTGTTTTGTGTCTCAAGTTGCTCCCGGCCTCTCGGGCAGCTCTTCCTCCATCTCCGTGGGCCCTGCCTGGATGATGGTTCCTGCAGGTCACTCCATGCTGGTGGTGGCCAGGGGGAGTACGTGGGCACGCACCAGACGGGATGCCATCTTCCCAACACCAGGCCCGAAGGAGCAGCCCCCCAGTAATGTCTGGGCTCCCCCCTTCCCCTGGGGCTGAGTGCCAGCCACCTCTGCCATGTTGTCATTTGAATCTTGGGAGATGGAAGCAGGAGACAGGTGGATGTCCTCACACTGACCAGCCCTCACTCTCTAGTGGAGTGTTGTGTTGTGGGTTCGGTAATGAAGGAATCCATTGGTGATGTCTGCATGGGTAGGAGGAATTGGGATGGCGACATGGTTGCCATACCTGGGCTTCCATACATGGTTGCTTCCCTGAGATTGGCTTAGAACTAGGGGTATATTTCTAGAATATTTTACAGAGGCTCGCTGCTCTTCCGTGGTCAGCTCACGGGGGACTGTAACAAGCCACACGTGGTAACTGTGAAAACCACTTTCTGCAGGCAGCTTCCTACTCTGTCGATGGGTAGGGGTTGACCTGGTCAGCCACTGAGCTCTGATGAGAGTGGGGCAGGGCCACAGCTCCCCCTTCCTTTACACTCAAGAGAAGAGGCAGGGTATCGCCAGCTATCCTGGTGGGGCCAGGGAGTGTCAGAAAATGTGCCTCCCTGAACTAGAGCAGGAATCAGAAAACCATGGCCCCTGGCCAAACCCAGCCTCACTCTGTACAGCCCCAGAGCTGAAAATGATTTTTATATTCTTAAATAACGGAAATAAAGGAAGGATGATATTTTTGTGACATGTGAAAATGACAAGCTCATATTTCAGTGCCTACAAATAAAGTTTTATTGGAACATGCTCATTTGCTTACATTTTGTACACATACATCTACTTTTTCACCATGACAAGTGCTGAGTGGTTATGGTGGAGACCAAATGGCTCACAGGCTGTAAAATATTTACCTCCTGGCCTTTTATACGAAACGTTTACCCTGAGCCTTGTCCTAGAGAAAATAAACACTCACACCTGTCTAGAACTGCCAACAGGCCAGGAAGTTGACTGTAGACAGGATAAAGTATATGTCAACAGTATCCTGTTCTGTGTTTACGCAAAGGCTGAGGTTTTCGTGAAAGTGAGAAAGAAAAAAGGAAGGGAAATTTAGTGCTAAATATTGGGAGCAGCTGGCCAGGAATCACCAATGTCCAGGATTTAGATTAGGGGACACTTAGATGTTACTACTCTATCAGAGTTGTTTTAAAAATACAACTTTGGGGGCTGTGTCTCCAGGACACATCCAGGAAGTCTTGATTTTGTAGGCCAGTGATACAGGATGGGCACGTGGCTTTTTTTAACGAGCCCCCACATGATTCTGGGGAGTTGCCAATCTGTTCGAGACCCACTTTGTGGAACAGTTTTATGGGTCAGGACCAAGGACAGCACCAGTGCCCGCCACCAGAACCCACTGGGTCTTTGGCCTTTGGGTGCCCTGCCTCATTGATTGAGGTGGGTCTCCCCACCAGGAGCTCTCTGGGGACAGACCATGTGCCTTCCCCAGAAGCACCCTGCAGGCCCCCTCTTCCCTGTAACCGCTCTGTAAGCAGAGCTAAATGACAACATGGCGAGTCTTGGCTGCCTGCTCAGGGATTGGGCCTGTTTCCTTGGCTCTGTGCTCTCTCTCTCGCTCTCTCTCTCTCTCTCTCTCTTCCTCTTTTGTCAGCTGTAGTTCCCTCTACCCATCTTCTGGGCACCCCAAATTTGGGTGATGGCTTTCCTTGAATCAACTGGGCTCAAGGACTTAGATCAACACTGGGGTCACTGTTTCCTGCTCTCAGGTTCAAGGTCTTTCCCTAGCTCTGCTGGCCTGACAAGGGAGCTGCTTGCTTTGGGGTGAGGACTCTGTGATCTACATAAACCTCAACAGAGCTCTTCTGTCCCCCTTCTCCATACTATAGTGCCCCAGGATCTGATGGATGTCTCCATGAACAACCTCCCATCCCTATGGCAACCCAGCCCTCGGAAATCTTCCTGCTCATCCTGTTCTCAGAGTGGCTCTGCTGATGGTAGCTCAACCAATGGCTGCAACCATGAGAGGTAGGAGAACTGGAACTGTAAACGGAGGGGATGAAGCGTTTACCGCAAGTTGTGGGTGTCCATTTCTTGCCCGGCAATGGAATCAACCAGATCTAGATGGGATCCTTGCTTTGCAAAGTCCTAGCTGTTGGAGATTACTTAACATGTATTGCTCAGGGTAAACATGGTTAGGCTGCACACAGTCCTAAAACCTCAGAGGATTTTTTCAGCTCAAGTTTAGTAACATGTATGCTCTGTGTCTTTTTTTTTTTTTAATTTTTTGACAGGCAGAGTGGACAGTGAGAGAGAGATACAGAGAGAAAGGTCTTCCTTTGCCGTTGGTTCACCCTCCAATGGCCGCCGCGGCCGGCGCGCTGCGGCTGGCACACTGCGCTGATCCGATGGCAGGAGCCAGGAGCTAGATGCTTTTCCTGGTCTCCCATGGGGTGCAGGGCCCAAGCACCTGGGCCATCCTCCACTGCACTCCCTGGCCACAGCAGAGAGCTGGCCTGGAAGAGGGGCAACCGGGACAGAATCTGGCGCCCCAACCGGGACTAGAACCCGGTGCGCCGGCACCGCTAGGCGGAGGATTAGCCAAGTGAGCCACGGCGCCGGCTTGCTCTGTGTCTTATCATGGGTCAGCCGAGGGCTCTGTTTTCCCCACACTGATGGATTCAACTGAAAAAGAAGTTACTGTCTCAATTGCTGACAGCCACAGAGACCAAGGGAAAATGTTCCATCCAACAAGGGCCAGGAAGTGAGTCCCACCAGGTGCCTGGAAGAAGCTAGAAATATTATTTAATGGCAGATGCGTATATCTTAGTTGACTCCTTGCAAGATGTAAGTAACGTTTGCTGTGTATGATATTGTAAGAGTTAAATTACATAATGATTAAAAGTGGGGCTGGCGCTGTGGTACAGTAGGTTAAGCATCCGCCTGCCTTGCCAACATCCAATATAAGTGCCAGTTCGAGTCCTGGCTGCTCCACTTCCATCCAGCTCCTCTGCTGATGGCCTGGGAAAGCAGTGGAAGATGGCCCAAGTCCTTGGGCCCCTGCACCCATGTGGGTGAGGAAGTTCCTGGTTCCTGGCTTCAGATTGGCACAGCTCCAGCTGTTGTGGCCATTTGGGAGTGAACCAGCTGGTGGAAGACCTCTCTTTCTGTGCCTCCCTCTCTGTCTGTAACTCTGCCTCTCAAGTAAATAAATAAATCTTTTTTTAAAAAAAGTGGCCAGCATGTGATACCTGATACTTAGTGATGCTCAGTCAACAATGCTGTCTTATTGAATAAAGTGAGATTCCAGTCTCATCTCTTGCACAAAGGGCTTTTGTCTGTTTGGAATGTCTCAACCAATTCTTTCTCTCTTTTTTTTTAATTACTGCATCTTCTGATTCAGTACATGGGGACTGATATGCTGCATTCTTTATATATATATATATATATATATATATATATGTGTGTGTGTGTGTGTGTGATTTTAAGATTTATTTTTTATTTATTTGAAAGACAGAGTTACAGAGAGAGAGGTTGGGGGGAGAGATAGATCTTCCATCCACTGGTTCACTCCCAAAATGGCCACAACAGCTGGGCTGGACCAGGCCAAAGCCAGGAGCCTGGAGCTTCCTCTGAATCTCCAATGTGTGTGTAGGGGCCAAAACACTTGGGCCATCCTCCGCTGCTTTCCCAGGTGCATTAGCAGGGAGCTGGATCAGAAGTGGAACGTGGGCTGGCACCATGGCTCACTAGGCCAATCCTCCGTCTGCGGCACCGGCACTCCGGGTTCTAGTCCCGGCTGGGGCGCCGGTTCTGCCCCAGTTGCTCCTCTTCCAGTCCAGCTCTCTGCTGTGGCCTGGGAAGGCAGTGGAGGATGGCCCAAGTGCTTGGTCCCTGCACCTGCATGGGAGACCAGGAGGAAGCACCTGGCTCCTGGCTTCAGATCAGTGCAGCGCGCCGGCCATGGTGGCCATTTGGGGGGTGAACCAACAGAAGGAAGACCTTTCTCTCTCTGTCTCTCTGTCTCTCTCTCACTGTCTAACTCTGCCTGTCAAAAAAAAAAAAGAAAAAAAAAGAAGTGGAACAGCTGGGACTTGAACTGGAGCCCATATAGGATGCCAGCGCCACTGGTGGCGGCTTACCCCAGTGCACCACAACACTTCCTCCTGTCTTAGCCAATTCATGAAATGTTTTCCCTTGGCCCAGCCTGGCCTGGTCTCAGAAAACAGAATCTTTTAGTCCAGGGAAGACAGGAAGGCATCTGTCCCAGTGGGTGGTCCAGCCTTCAGTCCAGGGAGAGTAGCAAGGAATCCATCATCAAAGGTGTGAAGCATGCGACCCCTCGCTCCTCTGTACCAGCATCAGAAACACCCAGGCAGATTCTCAGCCCCTCATCCTCAGCCTGTGACCCAGGGTCCGCATTTATCATGATCCCAAGGTCCTGGGTCAAGGTCTCTCGGGCTGGTGTTTCATGGACCACTGCTGTTGTAGCCCAGTACCCACCCTCTCAGCTTCTCTCCACACCTGTCCTGAGGGGGAGTTTGCAGAGGGCCGAGTCCCCTGTGGCACAGTTGTCCGTGAGATGCTGTTCTTGGGAAACCCCAGCAGGTGTGAGCCTTGCTGACCTGGGGGCTCGAGTGGGGACCCTGAACGTTCCCGCTCCTGTGCTGAACGCCATGCTCCCTGCCCGGTCTCCCCTGGGGTGTCCTGGGAGTACATGTCCAGATGTCCTTCCACTCTGTCCTCTTCTGGACTGTACAGCAGTCCCTCCAGCAGCCCTTGTTTTCTCCAACAACGCTAGAGTCTCACTTCCTCTTGCAGTCAGAAGTACCCCCCTCACCCCCAAATTCCCACGTAAGGAGCAGCTGAGACATCAGCTTCGTACTCAGCCGAAGAAGCTGAATCCCAGTTTGGTTCGTTTGGGTTCCCCTGGGTCACTTTAGAAGTCACATTTGTCTTTCCAAGTGGTAGAAACCTGCTTCAGACTGGCTCAGGGAAGAAAGAACACGCGTTGGCATAAATGAGAAATCCAGAGGCACAGTGGCTTCAGGCGTGGCCAGACCCAGCTGCTCTCTCTGTTCTTCGGCTTGGTGGCTCTGCTGGCTCTAGGATGTCGTCGTTAGGCAGGCCCTCCATATGCAGTGACAAGGATGGCTCCCTGCAGCCACTGCCCAGCATCCCCTCTGGCTGAGAGACTGACTCGAGAACAGGAGAATGCATGTTTCCTAGTAGTTCTGACAAAAGTCCCAGGACTGATTCTCATTGGCCCAGGTTAGGTCACATGACCGTATCTAACCCAGTCATTATGAATCCAATCTGAGTTATTACCGGGTGGAGTCATCCATCCCCTTCCAAACCACAGAGAAGAGTTAGGGAGGGGGTGATTCATCGAAGGAAAATTAGGGCACCGAGGACGCTGGTAGCCTAAGAGGGGGCAGTGATGCTCTGTGGGTAGAAATAATAGTGGCCCTCCTTGGAGTCCTGTAGCTGGCTGATTTCAACCTGCCCTCTATAGATAACAAGCTGGGCTCTTCTCCAGCAAACCAGGGCTGTGTGTCAATGTGTTCTAAGCATCTTCTCTCTCTCTACCTGCAGGGCGCCCCTGAAACTTCTCTGCGACAATATGAAGTACCAGATCCTTTCTAGAGCCTTCTACGGATGTGCGTATTGGTCCTCATTGCCAGGAGGGTCTCTGAGGAGCATTTATTGAGTACCTACTGTATGCCAGCAGTCTCAGGGGAGGGATCCTGGTCTGGAATTTGAACTTCTGCTCCTCTATTTCCCGCATGTCTGCCTCTGGCTCCCTGAGCCTCAATTTTTCTCAGCTGCCAACTGGGGATAAATTGTATCCCTGGGTCTTCAGAGAGGACAGTGAATGGTGGGGCCCCTTTGCAATCACCACTGCATCCCCAGGGCCCACCTTGGAGGGTAAATTTTCAGGGCTGAACGAGGTGCGTGCTTAAAGCCCTGGCCCCTGGTGCTGTATGTCCCAGGAACTCTGTGAATGTCAGTCCCCTTCTTTGGTAGGCAGAAATGCAAGAAGATCCCTTCTCCAAAACTTAAAAAATTAAATCCATGACATAGGTATTCTGATGATTCCAGTCAGCAGATGGGGAAACTAAGATGTGGAAAGGCAAAGTGACTTCCCGAGGACACGCAGCTCCCAGGTGGCAGAGCTGGGCTCAAACCCTGCTCCATCTCACTGCGGAGGCTTTGTGTTGCCCTCTCTGACCTGTTGACCCTTAGCAGGTTTTACACTCCAGCCTCATGACCTGCAGGGGGAGATAAAAACCGGGGTGTTTTCAGGAATTTGAGAGTCGTCCTCACATCACTGGTGTGGGCCCGGGAAGCAGCAGTGTAGCCAGTATGTTGAATGCCTGGGGAGGCAGGGAGAGCCGGAGCCCCACTCGGCCGAGATGTCTGCCTGTCCTGTTACTGCTCGTGCTGCCGTCTAAGGTAACTGGCCTGCAGCAGACACTGGGCAAGCATTGATCGGACCCCAGTGGAAGCCCTTCTAGGAAGAGGAGTGGGGTTCAAGATGCATCTAGAACGCTCTCCCCAGCTGATAATGTGGCTCATTCCTTGGAGTAGTTGAGAGCCTGGATTCTGGAGTCAGGTAGCTTAGGGTTCAAATCCCAGCTCCACATTTCCTAATGCTGTCACATGGGTGAGTGATAGAACTGGCATGCCTCAGTTTACCCCATGTAGAAGATGGAGATAATAGCAATGCCTGCTTCATAGGTTGTGGTAATAATTACATGAGTTCAGTTAGGCAAACTCTGGGAGCAGCTTCCTGGAATATGATGTGTACTATGTAAGTGCTAGCTATTCTGTCATTGTCATCATCATCATATCCCTGTTTTTGGTGGGGGTGAGTGCTCAGAAGGTTCAGGATTCTCTAGGAATTGTGGGAGGAAGGAGGGGGCCTGGTCAGAGTGAAAAGCAAAGACCCCACATGCTTTGGCTGTGCCCAGTGCCCTCCAGGCACTTTGGGGCATTTCTTCTTTTTAGGGGGCAGGACTATCTTTTAAAAGATGTATTTATTATGTGGAAGAGGGAGAGAGTGAAAAAGATAGGGAAAGGGAGAGAGAGGATGAATCCTAGTTCTGATTAACTACACAAGTGCCCACAATGCCGAGGGCTGAGCCAGGCCAAATGTGGGAGCTGGGCTCTCTCTCTAGGGTATCTCATACAGCTGGCAGGGACTCAAGTCCTTGAGCCATCACCTGCTGCCTCCCAGAGTGTACACTAGCAGGAAGCTGGCAGCAGAAGTGAAACAGACTTGGAGCCAGGCACTCAGTGTGGGATGCGGGTTTCCTAACCAGCATCTCACTCACTGCACCAGAAGCCTACCCAGTATCTCTGAAAGCAAACTGGGAGCTCTCAGCTTCTCCCTGCTGCTGACTTGCCAGGCCTTCGTTTTGCGGCTGCCACCTGAATGGGAGCCGTCCGTGTCTTTTTGTCCTTGTGTGGGTTGGAGGAACTGAGGGCCCAAGGAGTCCCTGCCTCCTTCCTTCCTGCCCCTCCCGGCCTCCAGGCTCTGTGTCAATGCCTTGGCTGCAAAGGGGAGGGTGGTGTCACCTTGTCCCGGGCTCCCCCAGGGTCATGGAGTCTTCAGTTAAGTCAGCAAGAGCTTCACTCTTCCAAAATTCATACTCACTGCCTGGAAAATGGGGCTAATGAGAGTTCTCTGGGTTGTGGGGGTTCAGTGAGATGGGGGGCGGGGGTGGGACAGCACTTCCGAGACTCTGGGAGTCAAGGTCTGAGACATCAGATGGCACACTTTCCTTCCCTCCCCTGCCAGGGCTGGCCTACTGCAGACACCTGTCCACTGTGAGGACGCACCTGTCGGCCTTGGTCAATCACATGATCGTGTCTCCGGACTTGCCCTGTGATGCTGGACAGGGGCTGACGGTCGGGATCTGGGAGCAGTACCTGCAGGATAGCACGGTAAGGCTTGGCCCAGCGTGGTCTGCCTGGGAACCGAGACTTCGGGGAAGGCTGTGTTTGCCATCTGAGAATTGAGTGCACCTGCTCCGGGCTCATGTTGACGTGCTTGGCTTCTGCACGTGGAAGGTCCCCTCCTCCTCTTGAGTGTTTTGAGCCGGTGTGGATGGAGATTGCGGGAAATGGAAAACATATACAGGAACATCCCTAATACAAAAATCTGAATGCTCCAAAATGCTCCAGAGTCCAAAATGTGTTGAGCACCAACCTGAAACCACACCTGACCTCAGGTGACAGGTTGCAATCAAAATGCAGGTGCACTAAAAATGTTGTATAAAATCACTTCCAGGTTGTGTGTGTAAGGTATATATGAAACATAAATGAATTTCATGATAGACTTGGATCCCAACTCCAAAATAGCTCAATATATATACATATGTATGCATATATATACATTATATACACATATATGCAGATATGCCAAAACACACCAGAAAAATCCCAAATCAGTAATAGTGCTCGTCCCAAGCATGTTGGACGAGGGATACTCATCTGTTCGCTTGTCTGGAAGGGGTGCAGAGTAAAACAGTTGATAAGCATTTATTAAGCACCAGTTGTATACTTGATCCTGCATGGAATACTGTGACATGACTCTGCCAGAAGGAATGCACAGGCCACTTAACATCACCGAGAATGATGAGAATGGCTAGGTTTGGGAGGCAGCCACACCAAGAAAGCCTTCTCTACCACTGTTAGAAACTTCCTTCTGTCTCCAGCTTGAGGCCCAGGGTTCTGCCATTACATAGTGCACCTGGAGAGTGTCAGTACTTGAATGCTTTCTAAGATTTTCTTATTTCAACACTGATGTCCTGAAAGGAAAATATTTATGTTTGAACAATGTTTCATGGTCAGATAGTTTGGGAAATTTCCAGTTGAATGATTTCTGTATTCTGCAGGACATCCCAGAGCCTTGGCTGTGCTCATATCCTTGTCACTCAAGAAATGGGGGCACGTGGGCCCTCCCCCTAAATGTACTTGGCCACAGAAACCTTTGTTGGAAAGCTCTGCTAATGGAAGGTGGAGCGCGTGTTGAGAAGCACTGGTTTATCCCTGCCTAGAACAGGATGTAGGAGGGGTGCCTGTTTCTTCCATGCAGGGGATATCTAGTGGCCCCATTCCACTGTGCACCTGCCCACCTAGTGGCTGGGGAAAGCCAAGCTGGTGAGCGCCTGGCCTGGGCTGCCTTCTAACTTTGAGGGGAGGCACTGCTCTCAGGATGCCGTGGGAATCAGTGGGAAGCACAAATTGATCCCCCAACTTGGACATGTAGAAGGGTCACTGTTCTTCTTACCCAAAAATTGTTGTTGTTTATTTTACAAAAGTAATGCCTGCTCAGCCACATCCCACATTGGAGTGCTGGTTCAAGTCCTTGCTACTTCACTGCAGATCCCTCTCCCTGCCAATGCATCCTGGGAAGCAGTAGATGATGGCTCAAGGACTAGGGCCACTGTCACCCACATGGGAGACCCAGACAGAGCTCCAGGCTCCTGGTTTTGGCCTGGTCCAGCCCTGCTGTTCTGGCCATTTGGAAAGTGAACCAGCAGATGGACGATATCTCTTTCTCTCTTTCTCTCTCTCTCTCTCCCCACATCCCTGCCCCATAACTCTGCCTTTCAAATAAATAAATCTTTTTAAAGATATATATATATATATAGCAAATATACTATGACATATATATGTTATTTTTATTCTGTATATCTATAGATCTATAGAGAAATATGTAGATACAGATTTCTATCTAGATACTGTAGATCTATTTTTATATCCATTACGTCTATACAGATTATGTCTAGAAATATTATTATACCTTTTATCTATATAGATGAAATTATATCCTATATGTTATATAGGATATATAATATCAATACATATTAAAATACACAAATAGGGGCCAGCGCCGTGGCTCACTAGGCTAATCCTCCGTCTTGCGGCGCCAGCACACCGGGTTCTAGTCCCGGTCGGGGCGCCGGATTCTGTCCCGGTTGCCCCTCTTCCACGCCAGCTCTCTGCTATGGCCCGGGAGTGCAGTGGAGGATGGCCCAAGTGCTTGGGCCCTGCACCCCATGGGCCGTAGCGCACCGGCTGCAGCGGCCATTGGAGGGTGAACCAACGGCAAAAAGGAAGACCTTTCTCTCTCTCTCTCACTGTCCACTCTGTCTGTAAAAAAAAAAAAATACACAAATAGATTAAAATTTATGTCTCTAAAATATATCTACCTTTATTTTATTTAAGAGGTGGAGAGATACAGAGACAGACACAGAGAGAGACAGACAAATAGAGCTCCTGTCCACTGGCTTCCTCCCTAAATGCTTGCAGAGTCCCGGGCTGAGCCAGGCCAAAGACCTGGGAACTCAATCTGGATCTCCCATGTGGGTGGCAGGGACCAACGGCTTGAACCCCCCACCTCACCTGCTGCCTCTCAGGGTGTGCATTAACAGGAAGCTGGAACTAGGCGTAGAGCTGGGACTGGAACCTGGGTGCTCTGATAAGGGATGCAGGTGTCCTAACCAGCATCTTTTTTTCGAAAGAGATTTATTTTATTTATTTGACAGAGTTATAGAGAGAGGTAGACACACACACACACACACACACACACACACACAGGTCTTCCACCTGCTGGTTCACTCCCAAATGGCTGCAACGTCCAAAGTTGAGCCTATTCAAAGCCAGGAGCCAGGAACTTCTTCCAGGTCTCCCATGCAGGTGCAGGGGCCCAAGGACTTGGGCCATCTTCCACTGCTTTCCCAGGCCATGGCAGAGAGCTGGCTCAGAAGTGGAACAGCTGGGACTCAAACCGGCATCCATATAGGATGCCAATGCTGCAGGCTGGAGATTTAACCCGCTGCGCCACAGCACGGGCCCCCTAACCACATCTTAACCACTGGGCTAAGACCTGCTCAATTGCTCTTATTTTTTTAATGAAGTAATTGTGTATTTTAAGTAACCAACTTAAATTAAAAAAAAAAATGTATTTAAGAGACAAAGAGAGACAGAGTTCCTACTGCTGACTCACTCCCCAGATGCCTGCGATGGCTGCAGCTGGACCAGGCTGACGCTGGGAGCTGGGAGCTGGGAGCTGAATTCAGGTCTCCCTGGATTCTGGCCACGTGGGTGGCCGGAACCCAGTCGCTGGAGTTGCGCCCTCTGCCTCCCAGGGTCTACAGTGGTAGGAAGCTGGAGTCAGGAACCAGAGCTGTGAATCAAACTTGTATAACATTTTATGTATTTACATAAAAACTGTGACCAACTTTTATATTAAGGATGGTTTTCAAATCTTTGGGTGAAATAGTGAATCTTAGAACCTTAACATCTCGTATGTTGATAGCCCATACTTTCCAGATCTTCCTCTTAACTACAGGCAAGTGAGTTCTTCCTTTCTCTTCTTTTAAAACATTGTCTCAAACAGTGTTGTCATCACTGGCTTTATAAGAAGATGTCTTTCTCTACTGATTCTTTTACTTCCAGAGTGGATTCCTAGAAGTAAAATTGATCAATGTGAATTTACAATTTAAGCCAATACACTGACCTACTTTCTCGTAAGGTCATGGTGTTCATAATCACCAGCAGTCTATAAGCATGCATAGTTCCTGAGCACTTTAAAAGATTTATCGATTTCTGGGCTTGGTGCCAGCCTCTCTGAATTGTGTCTGGGAATGGAGCCCAAGACTTGATGTTATTTGAAAGCTCCCCATATATTTCTGATAATCCTCCCAATTTGGGAAGCAGCCGGCTAAGAACACATTTGTTGAAGCAGTAAATTTGTCAAGAAATATTGTCATCGATGCCTTTCTCAAGCTGTGTAGCCATGTCCCTATCCTTTTTACCTGCATGGTTGCATTTCAGTAGACTGAGCCCCAGTACCAAATAATCCCCACTATTTCAGTTGCCACAGGACTTCATCTCTCACTCACTGAGCAGTCCCAAGTGGGTCATTTGAGGTGAGTGGGCATCTTCCGTACCCCCCGGAGGTTCAGAATCCCCCAGTCCTATGGTTCTACCATCTTGCACAGTTGTCTGTTTCCAGCTAGGGAAAGGGGAGATTGAGAATGCAGAAGAAACAGACCTGCTCCTTTCCGTCCCAGACCTGGAAAAGCATCACATCACTTCCTCTCACATCCCATTGGCCAGAACGCATCACATGGCCAGACAGAGTGAGGAGAGACAGAGAGAGGTCTTCTATCTGCTGGCTCACCCCCCAAATGGCCGTGACGGCTGGAGCTAGGAGCTTTATCTGGGTCTCCCACGTGGATGCAGGGGCTCAAGCACTTGAGCCATCTTCCGCTGCTTTCCCACGCACAGCAGCAGGGACCTGGATTAGAAATGGAGCAGCTGGGACTCAAACCGGCTCCTATGTGGGATGCCGGCGCTGCAGGTGGCTGGTCAAACCACTGTGCCTGGGGCCGATACTATGACGCAATAGGTTAATCCTCCTCCTGCGACACCAGCATCCCATATGGGCGCCGGTTCTAGTCCCGGCTGCTCCTCTTCCGATCCAACTCTCTGCTGTGGCCTGGGAAAGCAGAAGAAGATAGCCCAAGTCCTTGGGCCCCTGCACCCACGTGGGAGACTGGGAAGAAGCCCCTGGCTCCTGGCTTCAGATTGGCAAAACTCTGGCCATTGCAACCATTTTGGGAGTGAACCAGTGGACGAAAGACCTTTCTCTGTCTTTCCTTCTCCCTGTCTGTAACTCTACCTTTCAAATAAATAAATAAAATTTCAAATAAATAAATAAATAAATAAACAAACCACTGTGCCACAGCGCCGGCCCCGAGGATAACATATTTTTGACAAAAAATGCACAGCCTCTGTCACAAATAGTTCTCTAATATTAAACAGTGTTTTGAAAGCTGTAAAATATCCTCAATGGAGACAAGTGAAATGCTGGTGTTGCTATGGGGTTGGGGTGTGAAATGCAGAGGTAAGGGGGCTCCCAGGGCCCCCCTGAGCAGCCTTCCAGCAGCCCTTGGTGTTTGCCGTAAATACAGTCATCCGCCAGTTAATCACAGGGGTATGCTCTGAGAGTTGTGTCACTGGGCGATGTCGCCCTTAGCAAACATCCTAGCATACGTTTCAACAAATTGCCATGGCCACGCTGTCACTGGGTGCTAAGATCTTACGGGGCCACAGGTTCATCGAATACATGTGTTATCTTTGACTTCCCCTTTCCACTAACTGTCTGAGGTGCCCCCTGAGGTGTTATGTGATGCCTGACTGTATATGTAATTATGAAATCGAGAACCTTTACTCAAAATTTCAAGGGTTCTTGCCATATATTTAGACAAGAATTCTAAATATTGGCTGCTTATAAATGAAACAGGCAACGTGGTACAGTCTTTAGCATTTACTCAGTCTTTAGCATTTATTAGAGAAATACACAGGAAAGTGAGGGCTTTATTAAGGGGAAAGAGAAGTCTAGAAGCTAAGTTGGGTCCAGACCAGGCAGAGAGCAGACCGGGAGCCACGTGGAGCAAGCATGCAGTTGGGAGCAGCCACAGGTGGTGTAGCACGGGCAGGAAGGCAGAGAGCGGGCAGCCAGAAGGCCACACGCCTGCCCAGAGGAGGCCCGGGACAACAAGAAGGGGCCCAGGCACTCCAGGCCTTTTATTCATTCCCAAAGGGGCATGGTTACATAGTCTGATTGGCAGGTGGGTGTACAGATGAGTTCAGTTGGGGCCGGTCAAAGGTGTGGTCTCCAGCTCACACATCTAATCAATTTAATCCTATCTGCCTGCCTGCTTATAACTGCAAAGCCGTTGCCTGGAAATGAATAATTTTTTCATTTTTATTTTTGAAATCTACTTATTTTTATATAAAGAGAGCAGATTGTATGTATTTCATACACACAGTTTTAAGAACATAACACTACTTCCCACCTTGCCTCTCTCCCTCCCATCCTCTCTCCTCTTTCCTTTCTTCTTTTAATCTCTGGGATAACGTACTTTCAAGTTACTTTTTAATCACGAGCTTCATCCTGCACTAAATAAAGAATTCAGCAAATAGGAAGTAGAAAGACCACTGCTCCTCAGGAGTACAGACAAGGGCTATAAACCATAATCACATCTCAAGATGTCAATTTCACCCAAATACATTACGTTTCTTTGGTGCTCGGTATACAAAAGCAACTGTGCAATACAGCAAGCAGGTGTTAAAGTCATCCTAGGGTGCACAGAAGTCCTCAGCCTGCAAAGTCACAGCTGGAAACCTTCATTTTGGAGTGATTTGCTTTCAAGAATTTTTCTCAGAGTCAAGGTTATTAATAACTTCAAGATTGCTGGCGCCATGGCTCACTTGGCTAATCCTCCACCTGCGGCGCTGGCACACTGGGTTCTAGTCCCAGTCGGGGCACCAGATTCTGTCCCAGTTGCCCCTCTTCCAGTCCAGCTCTCTGCTGTGGCCCAGGAGTGCAGTGGAGGATGGCCCAAGTGGTTGGGCCCTGCACCAGCGTGGGAGACCAGGAGGAAGCACCTGGCTCCTGCCTTCGGATCAGCGCGGTGCGCTGGCTGCAGCACGCCAGCCGTGGCGGCCATTGGAGGGTGAACCAACAGAAAGAAGAGCTTTCTCTCTCTGTCTCTCTCTCACTGTCTAACTCTGACTGTCTCAAAAACAAAAAACAAACAAAAAAAAAACCTCCAAGATCAATATTTCCCAATGACCACAACATGGAAAATTGAAAATTAAACACAAATGTTAACCATTATATGCGGGCCTTCCCTTCTTTTCACCCCAAGGAGTTCACCCTACGCACGTTCTGCATCTTGCCCTTGCCACTGCCCTGCCACATCGTACATCTGGTCACCTGGGCCCTCGCAGAGGTGCCTCGTGCCCTTTACGTCTTGGTGGGGTTGGTCCTGGTGCAGGTGCACACTCCCCATTGCTGGGGTCTTGCTCTTCTGTATCAGGACATGCTGAATGCCTGGGTGCACGTGGCCCCTGAGGGCTGAGTGCAGGAAGCGGGACTGTTGGCCACAGAGTTCCCTCCTGGTTTGTCGCTGACCTAACCCTGTGCTTTCCCCGTGGCCTCCACAGAGTTACGAGGAGCAGGAGCTGCTGCGCCTCATCTACTACGGGGGCATCCAGCCAGCCATCCGCAAGGCCGTGTGGCCCTTCCTCCTGGGCCACTACCAGTTCGGGATGACGGAGACAGAAAGGAAGGAGGTGGGTTACCCGCTGTGGGCAGTGGCGTCCTTGGCAGCACAAGGAGCCGGGTACTGTGGGGCTGGGGGAGCTCTGGTCCCACGTTGGATGGAGTTGGGGCAGGGGGATAGGGAGGGCTTGGGAGTCTCAAGGGCAGTGCTGTCTAGTGCAAACATAAGGCAGTGCATATGTGAGCTCTTAAACGGACTGTTTTATTTTGAGATCATGATAGGTTCACGTGCAGTTGTAAAAACCAGTGGAGAGGTTTTGTATGTCCTTGACCCCGTTTGCCCCAGTGGTAGCACCTTGCGGAACTATAGTGTGATTTCACAGCTGGTGAGTAACAGTGGCACACGACAGCACTCAGACTTCCCCGGAGTTCTGCTTGGACATGTGTGTGTGTATGTGTGTGTGCGTGCGTGTAGATCTCAGCATGTTCTCACATGAACAGATGTATGTCCGTCACCACCGTCAGTGTGCACACAACACACAGCAGCCTTTCCAGGCTGTAAGGACTCTTGTTGTCCTCCTGTAGACACTCTGCCTTTCTCCCACCCCAACCCTACCCCCTGACAGCCACTGCTCCGTTCTCTCACCCCAGAGTGATGTGTGAATGGAATCCTACAGTACATAACTTCTTTTCTCTCCGCATAATCTCAAGTTTCATCCACGTTATTGTATATAACAGTGGTTGATTCCTTTTATAGTTGGGTAGTATTCCATGATCCGGTTATAGCACAGTTTCAGTATTCACCTTACTGTTGATGGATTGCTTGGTTGTTTCCAGGTTGTTTTTTTTTTTTTTTTTTTTTGGCTGTTATAAATAAAGCCACAGTGGATATTCCTGTACAGGTTTTTGTGTGCACCAGAGTTCTCATTTCTCTGGGATAAAATGCAAGAATGCCATGGACAGGTTGCGTGATAGTGCATCTTAGCTTTTTTTTTTTTTGTTTTTTTTTGTAGCAGTCAGAGTGACAGTGAGAGCGTTGGTTCACCCTCCGATGACCGCCACGACTGGTGCGCTGTGGCCGGTGCACCGTGCTGATCCGAAGGCAGGAGCCAGGTGCCTTTCCTGGTCTCACTTGTGGGTACAGGGCCCAAGCACTTGGGCCATCCTCCACTGCCTTCCCTTGCCACAGCAGAGAGCTGGCCTGGCAGAGGGGCAACTGGGATAGAATCCGGCACCCCAACCAGGACTAGAACCCGGTGTGCCAGCGCCGCAGGCGGAGGATTAGCCTAGTGAGCCGCGGTGCCGGCTGCATATTTAGTTTTATAAGAAACTGGAAGCTTGGGCAGTGCCTGGATAGTGTCATGTTCCCACCAGCAGCATATGAGCCAGCAGCACCTACGTCTTCACCAGAGTTTGGCGTTGTTATTATTTTTCATTTTAGCCACTCAGGCAGGCAAAGGATATTTCATTATGGCTTTAGCATGCACTGCGGATGGCGTGGGAGATTGGTCTTTCCACGTGCTTGCTGGCCAGTGGATATCTGCTCTGGTGAAGCGTCGGCTCATGTGTTTGGTCTGTTTGCTAATTGAATAGTTTGCGTTTATGCTGTTGAGTGTGAGAGTTCTTCACAGACCCCAGATCAGAGATGAGCAGCCTTTTTTCTTCCAAGAGCCATTTGGATATTTAATGGGCTACAAAAATGATCAATTTAAAAATTAGTCTACTTTAGATTTATTTTATTTATTTGAAAGGCAGAGTTATAGATGGAGAGAGGCAGAGACAGAGAGAAAACTCTTACATCTGCTGGTTCATTCCCCAAATAGCTGCAATGAGTTAGAGAGAGAGGTAGAAACAGAGAGAGAGGTCTTCCATCTGCTGGTTCACTCCCCAATAGGCCACAATGGCCAGAGCTGCACGGATCCAAAGCCAGGAGCCAGGAGCTTCTTTCGGGTCTCCCACACAGGTGCAGGGGCCCAAGAACTTGGGCCATCTTCTACTGCTTTCCCAGGCCATAGCAGAAAGTTGGATCAGAAGTCGAGCAGCCGGGACTCGAACCAGCGCCCTTATGGAAGCCGACATTGCAGGTGGTGGCTCCACCCGCTAGGCCACAGCAGTGGCCCCTATCAGTTTTTCTCTTTATGTAGTTTTGGTGTCAACCCCAAGACATGTTCACCTAGCCCTAGGTCCCCAAGATCTTCTCTGTTTTTTTCCAAAGTTTCATAATTTCTTGTTTCCCGTTTAAGTCTATGGGCGATTTGGGGTTCATTTCTGCACACAGTGCGTCATGTAAGTGGAGATGTGTTCCTGACCATGTCCAGTTGGTCCTGGACTGCGTGCTGGGGCTGTCCTTCCTGGGGCCACACCCTTGTTGGGGATCAGCTGGGTGTATCTGTGAGTCTTTCCTAGGTCCTCTAGTCTGTGTCACTGACCCGTGTGTCAGTCCTGCCAATACCGTGCCATCTTGATTACTATAGCACGTATGAAATTTTCAGTTTTTCATCACTTATTTGAAAGAGAGAGAAGGAAATGGAAAGAGCTTCCGTCCAGTGATTCACTTCCTAAATGCCCACAGTGGCCCTGGTTGGGGCCAAGGCCAGGAACCAGGGGTGCAGTCCAGGTCTCCGCAGTGGATGAGGGGGACCCAGTTGCTTGAGCCATCACTGCTACCTCCCAGCATCTGCATTGGCAGGAAGCTGGAGTCAGAAGCAGAGCTGAATATTGAACCCAACTCTACCACCAGGCTAAATGCCTGCCCTAATAGTACACGTTTAGGTAGTCACGTTTTCAAAAGTTAAAGGAAACAAATGCAGTTCATATTTTAAAACGTTTTTGAAAGAAGTAGAGGTTCCTAAGAAGTTGCAGAAAGGATCCAGAGGTCCTGTGTCCCCACCAGCCAGCCTTCCCCATGGTGGCATCTTACCTCACGAGAGTGCACCGGGACACCCAGGGCGCTCACACCTGCCACCGCACAGCTGGCCGGACTACAGAGCTCGCTGGCCTTTCACTCTCCCTCTCTCTGTGTAGTTCTGTGATATTTCATCAAGGTGAAATTAATTTTAATCATATACTTTATTTAACCTGGTATATCCAATACATTAGCACTTCAATATGCCATCAGTATAAAAATTACTGAGATATTTGACACCTTTTACTAATGCTGCTATCAAAATCTGTTGGTATTTTACCCTATCCATGTACTACTTTCCTTTTTTTTTTTTTTTTTGACAGGCAGAGTGGACAGTGAGAGAGAGAGACAGAGAGAAGGGTCTTCCTTTGCCGTTGGTTCACCCTCCAATGGCTGCCGCGGCCGGCGCTCTGCGGCCGGCGCACCGCACTGATCCGATGGCAGGAGCCAGGTACTTATCCTGGTCTCCCATGGGGTGCAGGGCCCAAGTACTTGGGCCATCCTCCACTGTACTCCCTGGCCACAGCAGAGAGCTGGCCTGGAAGAGGGGCAACCAGGACAGAATCCGGCGCCCCAACCGGGACTAGAACCCCGTGTGCCGGCACCACTAGGCGGAGGATTAGCCTAGTGAGCCGCGGCGCTGGCCCATGTACGGCTTTCCTAACATCTGTCTGTAAATTGACTCACAATTTATATGACTTATTTTAAGTGACATATTTATAGCCCTGCGATCCGCGGGAAACCACTATGACTTGCCAGAAATAGAAGGAGACTACAAAAATAAACAGAAGAGGATAACACGATGGGGTTCAGTTCTAGCTGGTCGCCACGCCCTGCTTGTGGGTCACTCTCTGTTACGGGGGAAACGTCACGTGTGGAAGTGACGGCAGCACCAGACTGGCCCATTCTCCCGGTGTAGCCAGAGGAGTTGGAGCAGAGTTGACGACGGCAACTTGCGTGGTTCCGTATGATGAGGGCTGGTGCCTGTGAACCGAGTGTCTGGCCCGCAGGCGGTGCAAGACCAGCCGAGTCGTTTGGTCTGGTCCTGCCATGGCAACTGCAGGCCGAACTGAAAATCCAGTCTCCGGCAGGCGAATGTTTCGGCTGATGATTTTGGATGGCTTGCGAGTGATGTTCTAAATATCCAGCAGCCCTTGGCAGAATCAAGGGTCCCCACCCCCGGATCTCAGTGCTAGGAGAGGCCCAGCCACTCTGCATCCAGTACCTGGCAGGTTCCAAGGCAGACAGTAGGCCAGGATGCTGGGGGCCTGGGCCCTGTACTTGGAGAGCTGCTTCCCAGTTTATTGGGGGTTATGGAAGTCAGATGAGAGAGGCAAACCTGAGGGCTGTGAGAGCCAAGCAGGAGGGGGAGGCTGAGCAGAGAAGCCCCGGTGGGGGTGGGGGGGTGGGGAGCTGGTTGTACCTGCAGCTCTCAGAAGGAGAAGAGGATGAGAAAGGGCTTCCTGGGGGAGTGGGCAGCAGGAGCCAAGGCCTGCAGGAAGCCACGTGGGAGGGCATGGCATGCACAGGTTGCCAGAGCGTAGAGGGTTAGGGTGGGTGGGCACGGCAGGGAGAGATGAGGCTGCCTAGTAGTGCGTGGGGAGGAGGGAATGGCCTGGGACAAGCTGCTGGGCCAGCCAGGCGAGGCGTGGGAGCTGGGAGCAGGCGGGGTCTGAAGGCGTGTTAGGGAGGTGGAGGGGAGGATGCTGCTCGGGCCCCTCCCCGGCTGTCCTGCTCGCCCCTCTCGCTCCTGCCTCGCCCCTCTCGCTCCTGCCTCGCCCCTCTCGCTCTTGCCTCGCCACGCCTTGGATCGGCTGCGCTGACCCCGTGTGTGTCCAGAGGCCTGGTAGAGTCAGAAGCCTCAGTTCCCTGGGCTGTGAGCCCAGGCCCTGGGCAAACACACTCCACCTGTGTTGGAGAAATCTCACAAGGAGAAGGCTGGAAATCTGTGGCCTTGTGTCACGCTGTGGCTTAAGGAAGGAAGTGGAGCGATTGCATTCATGTTTGTGTCCTCGGTACCCAGTGCCCATGCTGGGCACATGGGAGGCCCTCAGGAAATGTGTGGAGTGAGGGGACAGACAGTCTGGCTCGTTGGATGTTCCGTCTGCCTCACTTGGGGCCTGGCCTTGCTCCCTCCAGGGCCTGGGCAGTGCTCGGGAATGTGGCAGGTGCTCAGTTAGAATCTGTTGGCTGGTACCTGCACAGATGTTGGACAGGGTCAGGGCCACTGTCGTCCAGGTGGGGCTGGCTCTCCCCAGGGACCCCCGCACCTCAGGTGACCTTGGCGTCTGTTCCTGCAGGTGGACGAGCAGATTCACGCCTGCTACACGCAGACCATGTCCGAGTGGCTGGGCTGCGAGGCCATCGTGCGGCAGAGGGAGCGGGAGTCCCACGCAGCTGCCCTGGCCAAGTGCTCGTCGGGGGCCAGCCTGGACAGCCACCTGCACCGGATGATGCACCGGGACTCCACCATCAGCAACGAGGTGACAGGCGACGGCCCAGGGGAGCTCAGGGGGCTCCACCGGGCTGGGTGTGGTGAGGGCTGGGTATCAGCGCCCTTGGATATCACCTGGGTATCACCCCTAGCGCTGGCTGGCTTCTTGAAGAAGGGGTGGCTTTGGAATCAGACCTACATTCACACTTGAGTCCCTTCGCTTCTAGCCCTGGGGTTCCCTGAAGGGCCTTTGATTGTGAGCCTCAGTTTCCCTACCAATAAAATCGGTACTTGTGGTGTGTCTAGAGGAGGTTGGATAGATAAGATAGTGCATCTAAAGTACCTACCACAGTGCCTCATTTTCATGGATCCAACAAGTGGGTATTGGTACTTGCTAATTGTCAGGTACTATAAGAATGTCCTGAATTGTCCAGAATGTTCCACTGTCTGAGGCAGACATGCCTGCCATCCCAACACCTTTGACTTAACAGCCCAGAGTGGGAGATCAGATAAAAGCTAAATCTCATCACTGGTGATGTTTCAGCCATCACTTAGCCGTGAACACACCAGATAACAAACAACCCCCATAAGTCAACAGCTTCTGACAGCCCACGGTCAGTTTTGCTTGCCTACCTGTGGGTCAGCTGGCCAGTTCTGCTGGGTGGGGCTCACTCTCATGCCAGCTGTCAGCGACTCATCAATGAAAAGGTTTATGGCTCCCTGTTGGACTCCCTCCCCTGTTTGCAGTGACTTAACCTCTACTCCACGTGCTGCCTCTACCAAGCAGGCTAGCCTGGGCCAGTGCACTCCTGCTGAGAGCAGATGCTAGGAGAGAGAGCAGAAATACCAAAGCATCAAACATCTGCTGTGTCAAGTTTCCTAAAAGCCCTTGGCCCAAGACATCCACGTGGCCAAGCCTAGTGTCAGTGCAAAGTGACAGGGAGTGAAGAACTGAGCCACAGATGCAGTCGGGTGAATTGAACTAAAGTCTCAAATACGGAGCAGTTAAAAGGGGGTGCTCTAGCTATGGCTAGAGGAGCTGGGGGCCCAAATGGCACCATGGCCGCCAAGGAGACTCCCAGATGCAGGGAGGGAGCAGCCCCACTTCTCTTTTCAGCGGAGAAGCTGGGACCTTGAGAGGAGCCATAGCGCTGGCCTCAGACTCCCAGGCCCACAGCCCCGAAGCTCCTCCCAAGCCAGGCAGGCTGCAGCCTCTAACCCTAACCCTAACTTAACCCTAACCCTAACTCCAACCCTAATCCTAACACAAACCCCAACCCCAACCCCAACTCAACCCTAACCCTAATCCTAACCCCAAACCTAATCCAAACTGTAACCCCAACCCCAACCCAACCCCAACCCTAATCTTAACCCTAACCCTAATCCTAACTCCAACCCTAACCCTAACCACAACCCCAATCCCAATCCCAACCCAACCCTAACCCTAACCCTAATCCTACTCCAAACCTAACCCTAACCCTAACCCTAAACCTAACCCTAACCCTAACCCTAATCCAAACCCTAACCATAACCCTAATCCTAACCCTAACCCTAACTTCAACCCTAACCCTAACCCCAACCCCAACCCCAATCCCAACCCAACCCTAACCCTAACCCTAACTCCAACCCTAATCCTAACCTAACCCTAACCCTAATCCTAACGCTAACCCCAACCCTAACCCTAATCTAACCCTAACCCTAACCCTAACCCTAACCCTAACCCTAACCTAACCCTAACCCTAACCCTAACGCTAACCCCAACCCTAACCCTAATCTAACCCTAACCCTAACCCTAACCCTAACCCTAACCTAACCCTAACCCCAACCCCAACCCTAACCCTAACCCTAACCCTAACTCCAACCCTAACCTAACCCTAACCACCCACCCCGTCCTGCTGCTCCTCTCTTCCGCAGTCCTCCCAGAGCTGCAGCTCCGGCCGCCAGAACGCCCGCCTGCAGAGCGACTCCAGCAGCAGCACCCAGGTGAGCTTGCCCAGGCCCCGCCCCTCCCGCCCACCTGCCGTCCCGGAGGTTGGATGTCCGTCATCCGCCAGTCGCTCTTTGGTTTGTATGTTCCAGCTTTTTTTTTTTTTTAATATCATTCTCTCTCTCTCTTTTTTTTTTTTTTTTTTTTTTGACACGCAGAGTGGATAGTGAGAGAGAGGAGAGAGACAGAGAGAAAGGTCTTCCTTTTACCGTTGGTTCACTCTCCAATGGCCGCCACAGCCGGTGCACTGCGCTGATCCGATGGCAGGAGCCAGGTGCTTCTCCTGGTCTCCCATGGGGTGCAGGGCCCAAGCACTTGGGCCATCCTCCACTGCACTCCCAGGCCACAGCAGAGAGCTGGCCTGGAAGAGGGGCAACTGGGACAGAATCCGGCGCCCCGACCAGGACTAGAACCCAGTGTGCTGGCACCACTAGGTGGAGGATTAGCCTATTGAGCCAAGGCGCCGGCCCCAGCTTTTTCTATAAACCTTAAAAATGGATTTTTTTTAAGCAGCACAAGTAATACAACCATCCCTCGGTATTCACGGGGGGATTGGTTCCAGGACCCCCAAGGATACCCAAACTTGAGAATGCTCATGTCTGTTGTATGAAGTGGGGCAGTATTTGCATCCATGCAACCTCCCATAGACTTTAATTCACGTCTCTAATATGAGGTAAAGGCCACGTAAATAGTGGCCGGGCTATATTGCTTAGGGAAGAATAACGGGGAAAAAAAAAAAAAAGCTCTGGACATGTTCAGTGCAGACGCATTCTTTTTTCTTGGATATTTCTTATCTGCAGTTGGATGTGGAAACAGTGACTGAGCATGCCAACTGTACAGGAACCTCTTCTCATAAGAAATCCAGACACTGCAGAGAAAGCTAAATCCTGCTTTGGTCGTCTCTCATCCCCCTCCCCTCCCTTGAAATAACATGAGCGACCATCTTCAGTCTGCTGTGTCTTTCTTTCTTTCTTTTCTTTTTTTTTTTTTTTTTGGACAGGCAGAATGGACAGTGAGAGAGAGAGAGACAGAGAAAGGTCTTCCTTTGCCATTGGTTCACCCTCCAATGGCTGCCGCGGCCGGCACGCTGCGGCCGGTGCACCGCGCTGATCCGATAGCAGGAGCCAGGTGCTTCTCCTGGTCTCCCATGGGGTGCAGGGCCCAAGCACTTGGGCCATCCTCCACTGCACTCCCTGGCCACAGCAGAGAGCTGGCCTGGAAGAGGGGCAACCGGGACAGAATCCGGCGCCCCGACCAGGACTAGAACCCGGCGTGCCGGCGCTGCAAGGCGGAGGATTAGCCTAGTGAGCCGCGGCGCCGGCCAAGTCTGCTGTGTCCTGTGAGGACCTTACAAATGCCTTTTCAGACACAGAAGTGTGTAGATAATGTGTACCAATGGTTGGTAGCTTTTAGAATTCCTCCATAAATGCTGTCATAGGTGTTATTCAGCAACTTCCTGTTTCGTCTGATAAACTCAACCTCATTTAATATTAACAAAATGTAAAGAATGCACATGGAACCCTTTTATGTAAAAAGGGAACATTTTGGCAGGTGTGTATTTTTATATCTAAAGAAACAGTGAAAAGATAAACTAGAAGTTAATCAAAATGATCACCAAGGCGGGAGGCGAGAGTAAAGAAGCTACTTTGTTCTGAATATGTCTTATTTTCTCATTTTGTCTTTGGAGTCAAAAAATCTCTAGTTTCAACCCTGAATCTGTGTTTTTAAATATATATAGTTTTTAAATAGAAACTCATGACACTAATCGTATATCAAGTTGGTAATATAACCACACCAAGGAGGACACGGACTTCTACTGTCTGTCCTTGACAGGATGTGGCTTAAGGACTCAGCAATCCACAAATATATTTAAAATATACCCTGGGGGAATTCTTTTTATCGTATTTTATATATATCTAGCTACTTTTGAAAATTGAACTGTAATCATCACGAGCCTGGATAGAATGAGCCATTTTAGTCCATTCCTTATGTTAACTCTTTTTTTTTTTTTTTTTACTTGAAGGAATTATGTTCCCACGGAAAAAGTCTCCTCCCCTCCCCACCCCCATCTCAGTTCCCTAGCACATCTTCCTCCGTGGCCACTGCAGTACTTTATGGGTTCATTCTGAATCATTCTACGTGCACACAAGCCGTGGGTGCCTCCTGTGTTTGCTGCACTGTGCTGTGTCCCACTTCCCTGGCTGTACTGTGTCCGTGCAGGTTCCATAGTTAAGCTGGTCCCCGGTTGTTGGGTACCTGGGTTGCTGCTCCAAGCAGTGCTGCAGTGCACTGCCTAGCGCATCTGTCTGTGTGCACCTTGTCTGCAGGTGTTCGAGTCTGTGGACGAGGTGGAGCAGGTGGAGGTGGAAGGCAGGTTGGAGGAGAAACAGCCCAAGATCCCCAATGGGAGCCTGGTGAATGGCACTTGTTCCCCGGACTCTGGTCACCCATCGTCCCACAACTTCTCCTCTGGCCTCTCGGAGCACTCGGAGCCCAGTCTGAGCACGGAAGACAGCGTCTTGGATGCCCAGCGGAACGCCCCCCCGGTGCTCCGACCCGGGGACGGCAGCGTGGATGACGGGCAGAGCAGCGAAGCCACCACTTCCCGGGACGAGGCCCCTCGTGAGGAGCTGGCTGTGCAGGACAGCCTGGAGAGCGACCTCCTGGCCAATGAGAGCATGGACGAGTTCATGTCCATCTCTGGCAGCATGGACGTGACCCTGCCCGAGAAGGACGGCGCCGTGATGGAGAGCTGGCGGGGCAGCGAGGCGGAGAAGCGCAGCCAGGTGGACAGTGAGGACAACCTCTCCGAGGAGCCCGAGATGGAAAGTCTCTTCCCCGCCCTGGCCTCTCTGGCCGTGGCCACTTCCGCCAACAGTGAGGCGTCCCCTGTGTCGTCCAGTGGTGTCACCTACTCTGTAAGTCACCTACTCTCCTCTGCCCTACATTCTTACCTTCACCGGTGGGGGTGGGGGAGGGGAGAGGGGTGGGAGATGGACCGCAAAGCCCAGTTACACTAGCGATCCCTAGAATGAGACCTCTGGTTGGTAGCATTTTCCCTGTGAGCGAGGATGCACTGTAGAAACCCACTTGGGATAGAGGATGATACCGGATGAGCATCCTTAATCCAGAAGTCTGAAATCAGAAAAGCTCCAGAATCTGAAACATTCCACAAGCAGAAAATCCCACGCCTGACCTCAGGGGCTGGGTCCCGGTCAAGGGGCAGGTGCTCTAGAGATACCGTGTAAAGTCACCTTCAGGCTTTGTGTATGAGACGTATATGAGGCATAGGTGAATTTCATGTTCACACGGGTCCTCTCGCCAAGCTGTGTCATATACAGATGTACCCCTCGAGAAATCCCAGACACCCCGCATCTGTCTGCTCCCAAGATTTTGGGATAAGGGACACTCAACTGTTGTTTGACGGCTTTGACGTGAACAGCCCCCAGGGTGGAATCCCAGCTTCAGCAAATCACTTTTTACTCCTGTGCCTCAGTTTCCCTCTTGAGTTGCCTGCAGAATTAGCGAACCAAAGTCCTACACATCTGGCACGAGGGGAGCCCTCGGCCGACAGCAGCCTTGATGATGTCGACTCAGATCCAGTATCTTTTAAGTGCTCAAGGTTGCACGCTTGCTGGAAAGTTGAGTCCATGGACACCACGGGAAGGAAGGGTTCTCTGAGCCAGGCACCCTGTGGCCATTTTCCCATAAGAACTTGGTATTTTCTGTCGGAGACGTCCAAGCCTGTGGTTTGAGGCGTCAGACTCTCCAACAAGGTCCCTTCTCCGTCTCTCCCCCTCTTGCCCTCTGCAGAGGTGGTCAGACTCGGGTTTGTTTATTCTTCCCCAAGCGATGCGACGTTGACCCCCAGGTTTCTGATGGTCCCTTTACTGCCGTTCAGTCTCATCCGTTTGTGTGTTTTCAGTTTGAGTCACTATCTATGAACTCCCTAGCATGGAAGAGGACGGTTTAACTCCGGTTCCTCCTCTACTGCAGACCCTCACCATGCATGTGAAATCGCCCTGTTCCCCTCCTTCCAGTAGTCACGCAATGATTGAGTCACGTGACTGCTCAGTACACACATGATTATAACGGCATAATGTGTGAGCCATGTCCTGGGCTGTGTTTATTGTTTCCTACCAGAAAACTATTTTTCCTAGATGTATTTTCACTTTTGTGTCTGTTTTCTTTTTTTATAATTTTAGAATTTTTTTATTTTATTCAAAAAGCACAGACACACACACACACACACACACACACAGAGGAATCTTCCATCCATTGGTTCATACACCAAATGCCTACAACAGCCAGATCTGGGCCAATCTGAAGCCAGGAGCCAGGAACTCAGTCCAGGTCTCCCACAAGGGTGGCAGGGACCCAACTACTTGAGCTGTCGCCTGCTGCTTCCTAGGGTGTGCGTTAGCAGGCAGTTGTATCAGAAGCAGAAGAACTGGGACTCGAACCAGGCCCTCTCAGATGGGACACAGGCATCCTGAGTAGCAACTTAACTGCTGCACCCGACCCTTGCCCCCGTTTCCTTGTTCTTGGATTGTTGTATACTTATCATCAATTTACCTCCTCCCCAAAGTTCTCTGCCAGTTTTCTTTGGTTAATAACTTCAGATTATTTTTATTTATTTGAGATGGAGAGAACTTCCGTCCTCTGGTTCATTCTCCAAATGCCTGCAGCAGCCAGAACTGAGAGCCAGGCCAAAGCCCAGAGCCTAGAACTCCTCTGGGTCTCCCAAGAGGGTGGCAGGGACCTGACTGCTCGAGCAGAGGAAGATGGCCCAGGTATATGGGCTCCTGCCACCCATGTGGGAGACCTCGATGGAGTTCCTGCACCTGGCTTCGGCCTGACCCAGCCCTAGTTGTTGTGGCCACTGGGGGAGTGAGTCAGCAAATGGAAGACTCTCTCTGTGTCTTTGTCTGTCTCTGTCTCTGTCTCTGTCTCTCCCTCCCTCTCTCTGCTTTTCAAATAAATAAATCTTTATTTTTTTAAAGATTTATTTATTTTACTGGAAAGACACACACAGAGAGAAGGAGAGGCAGAGAGAGAGAGAGAGAGGTCTTTCATCTGCTGGTTCACTCCCCCACTAGCCACAATGGCTGGAGCTGTGCCGATCCAAAGCCAGGGCCAGGAGCCTCCTCTGGGTCTCCCATGCAGGTGCAGGGGTCCAAGGACTTGGGCCATCCTCCACTGCCCTCCCAGGCCACAGCAGAGAGCTGGATTGGAAGTGGAGCAGCCAGGACTTGAACTGGCACCCACATGGAATGCCAACACTGCAGCGCCAGAACTCCTTGCCTTCTTGGGAATGACAGGAACACAGAACAATTAACTCTAAGCTTGTGTTTTCCCAGTTTGGTGGCTTCTCCCCAGTCAAAAGCAGCTTTTGCTGTTTTCTCACCTTCTTAGGTTAGTATCTGGCCCTTAAATATCCCTTACATTTTTGCTGTATCATTGACCCATTTTGTCAAGGTTGTTGGCTAAGGTGTCCGTGTAATACAGGACCAGATTCAGATTTCCAGTCTTTCATTCTCCTAGTTCAGTATTCAAGAGGGAGAGGGAGCTATGATTGCAGCTCCGAGTCTCGGTTTGCTGATCTATAAAATGGGGATGATAATTGTGTGCGTGTCACGGGATTGTTTTATTTTATAGAGGAATAGGGGCTCTGCTAGGAAGCATAGAAATGAATGAGCAGCGGAACCCCAGGCTGCTCCGGGTGGGAGGTGTTGCTGTCCGTGGGGGCAGGAGGGGCCGGGAGGAGGAGACGGGAGTGCAGTCTCCCAGCGGGGCGCTCGGTGGGCTCTTTCTCTTCCTGCCCCCTGCCCGGGGCTGCAGCCCGAGCTGCTGGACCTGTACACGGTGAACCTGCACCGCATCGAGAAGGACGTGCAGAGGTGCGACCGCAACTACTGGTACTTCACGCCCGCCAACCTGGAGAAGCTGCGCAACGTCATGTGCAGGTGCCCGGGGCCGCGGGGAGCCCGGCGGGGACAGGCACCCTGCCCGCCTGGAGGCTTCTTTCAGCCCACGCTGACAGTTGACAACAGCAGCCGCAAACGTTTATTAGGCACTTACTGTATACCAGACTCCGTCCTGAGCATTTGCTATCATCAGCTCACGTAGTCCCCAAACAACCCTGGGAGGTGAACAGTATCCCCTTTCATGGGGAGGCTGCGGAGGCTCAGAGAGGAACCACCCTGCTCCAAACTGCCCAGCTCAGCCGCGGCCGAGCAGGAAGGAGCTCACAGCCATGTGCCGTTGGCTGTAGAATCTGTCCTATTCTGTTCTCTTCCTAAAAAGATATATGTATTTGCTTGAAAGACGAGGCGGGGGGGGGGGGGTGTTACATCTTCTGGTTCATTCCCCGAATGGCCACAGTGACCAGGACTAGGAGGCTGGAACTCCATGCAGTCTCCCATGTGGGTGGCAGGGGCCCAGGTGCTTGGGCCATTACCTGCTGCCTTTCCAGGTGCATTAGCAGGAAGCTGGATTGGAAGCAGAGCAACCAGAACTCAAACTAGCATTCTTTTTTTAAGTTTTATTTTTATTATTTTTAAAAAGATTTACGTATTTGAAAGAGTTACAGAAAGGCAGAGGCGGGGTGGGGGTTCTTTCATCTACTGGTTCACTCCCCGATTGGTCACAGTGGCCAGAGCTGCCCCGATCCCAAGCCAGGAGCTTCTTCCTGGTCTTCCATGTGGGTGCAGGGGCCCAAGGACTTGGACCATCTTCTACTGCTTTCCCAGGCCATAGCAGAGAGCTGGATCAGAAGTGGAGCAGTCGAGACTGGAACCAGTGCCCATATGGGATGCCAGCACTGCAGCTGGTGGCTTTACCACTATGCCACAGCAGTGGCCCCCAAACTAGCATCCTGATACGGAGTACAAACTGCGGCTTAACCAGCTGCATCACCATGCTGGCTCCAAGCTTTTGTTTTCTTTAATGCAAGATCTAAGGCTACTTATTACTGTTCATTAAAAAATTACTGGCATTTCTTAGAATATGAAAGTAACCCCTGCTTATTAAGAATCTAAACCAGTCTAAGAAATCAGAAATTCATAGCATACAGGAGAAACTTCTCTTTCCAACTCCACACATCAGAGCCACTGACACAGAACTGGTGGCTACTCAGTTTAGTCAGTATCTTCCAGAGCCATATGGAGATCATATTTAATCCAACAGCCGATTGTGTGATATATAATATGTTGCATAATGCAATATGAATATATGTGGTTTTTTGAGATTTATTCATTTGAAAGAGTTACATAGAGGCAGAGAGAGAGAGAGACAGAGAGAGAGAGAGAATCATTCATCCACTGGTTCACTCCCTAAATGGCCACAACAGTAAGGACTGGGCCAGGCCAAAGCCAGGAGCCAGGAGCTTCTTCTAGTCTCTCACATGGGTGGCAGGGGCCCGGGTACTTGGGCCATCCTCCACTACTTTTCCCAGGCGTTAGCAGGGAGCTGGATTGGACGTGGAGCAGCCAGGACCCAAACCAGTGCCCATATGGGATTGCAGCATTGCAGGTGGCGGCTTTACTTGCTACAACCACAATGCCAGCCCCAATGTATTTTTAAAAATGAGCCTGAACTGTAGCAAACTGTGATAAATGTACTGAAAAAAAAAAAAAAAGTCCCAGAGGAGAAGTAAAGGTTGAACTGATGTTTGCATGGTGGTAGCTTGGGGAAAATCATGGAAGGAAGAGATGGTGACCAAAATTAAGAAAAACTGGGGCCGGCGCCGTGGCGCAGTAGCTTAATCCTCCACCTGCGGCACCGGCATCCCATGTGGGCACCAGTTCTAGTCCCGGCTGCTCCTCTTCCAGTCCAGCTCTCTGCTATGGCCTGGGAAAGCAGTAGAAGATGGCCCAAGTCCTTGGGCCCCTGCACCTGCATGGGAGACCTGGAAGAAGCTCCTGGCTCCTGGCTTCAGATCGGTGCAGTTCCAGCCGTTGTGGCCATCTGGGGAGTAGACCAACGGAAGGAAGACCTCTCTCTCTGTCTCGCCCTCTCTCTGTCTGTAACTCTACCTCTCAAATAAATAAATAAATAAAAATCTTTAATAAAAATTAAGAAAAACTAAAGACACTATTTAACATAGAGTTAAGATCGCATACCTTTGAGTAAGGCCTCCTGGGTCCCAGTATGCTCTGCCCTTACTATCAGGTATATGCCTTTGGACATGTGATCTCTCTCTTGGCCTCAGTCTCCTCATCTATGAAATGGGATAATAATGGAACTTAATTCATATGATTACTTTGAAACCTGAATGATACAGTGAATGTATCGTGGGCCGAGTATATAGCAAATATAAGTCCTTATTAGTAAGGGACAGATCAGAATTCCAGAGGGAACTGCTAGGGCAGAGGCACAGAGACGTCACCCGTGATGTATTTGTGCCAAGTGAACCCCTCAGTGTGAAGAGAAGACATCCTAAACAGGGACGTGTGAGGCTGTGAAGGGGAGGTGGGGGCGCTGTGCATACCTTCCACCCTAGGAAGGGGCTTGGGCCACATCCCGTCAGGCAGCAGGGGCCTTGGGAAGCTTTCGGAGCCTCGGTGGTGCCTGTGAAGTGTGCGTTTGGAAGAGCAGCCTGGTGGCTGCACCTCAGATGCCTGAAGGGATAAGACAGGGGCTGGGGATGCAGGCAGGAGGCTGAGAGAGCTGTCTGGTGAGGAGTGGGGGAGCAGATGGGGGGGGCAGGGCGTAGAGGAGGAGAAGGGGGAGGAAGAGGATGGGGAGGAGAGGGGAGAAGAGGAGGGGGAGGGGAGGAGAGGGAGGAAGAGGGGAGGAGGGGGGAGCAAATGTGAGAGGAGGAGGGGAGGAGGGGGAGCAGATGTGAGAGGAGGAGGAGGAGGGGAGGAGGGGGAGCAGATGTGAGAGGAGGAGGGGAGGAGGGGGAGCAGATGTGAGAGGAGGAGGAGGGGAGGAGGGGGAGGAGGAGGGGAAGGAGGGGGGAGCAGATGTGAGAGGAGGAGGGGAGGAGGGGGAGCAGATGTGAGAGGAGGAGGAGGAGGGGAGGAGGGGGAGCAGATGTGAGAGGAGGAGGAGGAGGGGAGGAGGGGGGAGCAGATGTGAGAGGAGGGAGCAGATGAGAGAGGAGGAAGAGGAGGCACCAGCGGCGGCGGCATCATCACTGGGTCCCTTGTTCTCTCACAGCTACATCTGGCAGCACATTGAGATCGGCTACGTCCAGGGCATGTGTGACCTTCTGGCTCCACTGCTGGTCATTCTGGATGACGGTGAGTGTGCAGCCTCCCTTGCACTGCAGGGCAGACGAGTTAACGGGTCAGGACAGGTGCTCAGAACACCTGTCTGTGAACACCCAAGATCCTAGTGAGATCCAAGTCCTCGTGTTGCATAGCGCCCAACACTAGCACCCGGTCAGGCCTTTCTTAGCCACAAACATCAGACAAAGCGGGAATCCTTCCGACTTGTTCTGGAAGCCCAGTCCTCAGAGGAGGATGGTTGCCCGCTTGGTGCCCGACCCCAGTCTCAGACAAAGACATTGCAAGAGAACCACAGACCAGTATCCATCGTGAGTGTACCAGCTCGCTGAAGCCCGCCAGCTGTGAAAAGGTCCATAACCACGGTGGTTATGCTGCCCCTTTTGCAAAAACCTGACAACTTGACCCTAAAATTGGCATGGAAGTTCAGGGGATTGAGAACCATGAGAATTTTGAAAAAGAAGAAATTGTTGGAAGAGTCACACTTCCTTATTTCAAAACCTACGTCAAAGCTACAGTAATCAAAGCTGAGCAGTACTTCCACAGAGATTGACTTGTTGTAGATCCATGGGCAGACTCGGGGGTCCAGACATTACTGGTCAATTAATTTTTAAATTTGTTAAAAAGGTTTATTTATTTATTGAAAGGCAGAGTTACAGGGGGTGGGGGGAGAGAAGGAGCGCTTCCTTCCTCTGGTTCACTCCTCAAATGGCCACGATGGCCAGGTCTGATCCAGGCTAAAACTAAGAGCCTGTTGCTCGATCCAGGTCTCCCACATGGGCCATCTTCTGCTACCTTCCCAGGTGCATTAGCAGGGAGCTGGACTGGAAGTAGAACAGCTGGGACTTGAACCAATGTGTGTTATAAGTGGTGGCTGACCCCACTGTCCCACAGTGCAGCCCCTATTTAATTTTTATTTATTATTTTCATTTTATTTGAGAGAGAGATGGAGATTGAGATCTTGATCTTTTAATGCACTGGTTCACTCCTCACCTGCCCACACAATGAGGGCTTGGCCGGGCCAAAGCCAGGAGCCCAGAACTTAATCTGGGTCTCCCATGTGGTGTCAGGGACTTAACGTACCTGAGCTATCACCCCTGCCTGCCAGGGTGCGTGTTAGCAGGAAGCTGCATCAGAAGCGGAGGAGCTGGGACTTGAACTGGGCACTCTGACACGAGACGCAGGCCTCCCAAGTGGCATCCTGACTGCTGCTCTGCAAATGGGAGTCTTTAGAAAGGAGCCACTGGTATCCCCAGGCTTCCCGAGGTCAGCACCTCTAGAGCCAGACGTGAGATGAAGATTGGGGAGCACCCTGGAGCCGCAGTACGCTGAGCCCCGCTGTCCTGTCCTTCCCCGAGCCTCGCCCGTCACCTGGGCAGCTCTGGTCCTCGGGCCCTGGCCCCGCTCAGGTCCCTGCTGCTTCCACAGAGGCCCTGGCCTTCAGCTGCTTCACGGAGCTGATGAAGAGGATGAACCAGAACTTCCCGCACGGAGGCGCCATGGACACGCACTTCGCCAACATGAGGTCGCTGATCCAGGTAGGACCTGCCTCTAGTCCTGCTTTGGGTATTTTTGGGAGACAGTAGTACAGCTGAGTAGTTTAAGAATGAGCAGTTTGAAGCCAACCTGGGTTTGGATCCTGATTCTCCTGTTTGCTGCCTGTGTCACTACAGACATATGCTTTTATTTATTTTGAAAGGCAGAACGAGAAAGAGAGATGGATAGATCGATCTTCCATCTGCTGGCTCAGTCCCCAGTTGGCTGAGGCTGGGCCAGGCTGAAACCAGGAGCCAGGAGCTTCATCCCAGTCTCCCATGTGGGTAGCAGAGGCCCAAAGACTCGGGCCATCTTCCACAGCTTTCCCAGGTGCATTAGCAGGGAGCTGGACCAGAGGTGCAGCAGCCAGGACTTGAACCCCAATGCCCATACAGGATGCTGGTGTCCTAGGCAGTGGCTTACCCCACTGTGCCACAACGCCGGCCCTGCTTGAACCTTAGAAACCCTCCTGGATAGTGGTTCCAGCACACTCCGTTCTCACGTCATTAATGCCACACTTCATTCTTGCCAGTGTCTTAGTTCTGACCCATTGTGATTTTATTTGTCCTTAATTAACGATGCGATTGGATAGCTTCTTTTTTTCTTTTCTTTCGCCTCATTTGAGTTACTTGTCCCCTGAATTGCCTGTTCATCTGTTTTGCCCATTGCGTATATACATTTGCCGTAATTAGAGTCATGCACTATGTGCTTTCCCCTTCTTTTTGTAAATCCTGTTTAAGATCTGTTTTTTTCCCCGCTTAACAGTGTAACAGTGTTGTAGATAATCTTTTGCCTATTTTTTAATAATAATTTTATTGAGATAGAATTCAGATTATATAACATTGACTCTGAACATTGACACATTCAGTGATTTGGCCATGACCAATTTCAGAACATGTTTATTGCCCCCCACAGAAGAAACTCTGCACCCCTTAACAGGCACTCCCCGTGCCCCTCCCTACTCCCCAGCACCTGGACGCCAGCTTCTGTCTCTGTGGATTTGGCTTCCTTCACTCACAATGTTTCTGAGGCTCATCTGCATCATAGCCTGTATCAAAGCCTGGTTTAATTTTCATTAATGAACAACATTCCATTCTATGGCTGTCCCAGTTGTGCTTGCACTCATGTCCAGTTAGGCATTTGGGTTGTTTCCAGTTGTTGGCTGTTATGAACAGCACCACTGGGTGCATGTGTGTACAAACTTTTTAAAAAAGATTTATTCATTTATTTGAAAGGCAGAGTTACAGAGAGGCAGAGGCAGAGAAAAAGAGAGAGAAAGGTCTTCCATCCGCTGGTTCACTCCCCAAATGGCCACAATGGCCAGAGATGGGCCGTTCTGAAGCCAGGAGCCAGGAGCTTCTTCCGGGTCTCCCACATGGGTGCAGGGGGCCAAGCACTTGGGCCATCTTACACTGCTTTCCCAGGGCACTAGCAGAGAGCTGGATCAGAAATGGAGCAGCTGGGACTCAAACCAGCCCCCATATGGGATGCCGGCATTCCATTAACCTGCTACGCTGCAGCACCGGCCCCAGGGTGCAGACTTCTGTTTTTATTTCTCTTGGGAGATTCTTAGGAGTAGAACCGCTCCACCATGTGACAACTGTGTGTTTAACGCTTCGAGGAACTGCACGACTGTTTTTCCATAGCAGGTGCACCGTTTTGCGTCCTCGGGAGCAGTGAATGAGGTTCCAGCTACTGCACATTCTCACCAACACTTGCTGCTGTCTGTCATTTTGCTCTTAACCTTCCCAGGGTGTGTAAAGAGGTCTCGTGGCTCTGATTTGCATTTCCCTAATGAGTAATGCTCATTGACCCCTGTAGCTCTTCTTTGGAGACTTGTCCGTTCCCGTCCTCTGCCCAGCTTTTGTAACTCGCCCTGGAGCTAAGGGCTCATGCCGTCTGGCCGTTTACTCAGCTGTCCTCCCCGGCGCGGCTTTCTCCCGGGAGGCTGACGATGGGCCCTCTCGCCCTCTCCTCCCCCGGCAGATCCTGGACTCGGAGCTGTTTGAGCTGATGCACCAGAACGGCGACTACACTCACTTCTACTTCTGTTACCGCTGGTTCCTGCTGGACTTCAAGAGAGGTATGGGCTTCAGCTGGGACTCGTCCTCCAGCTCCGTGTAGCAGAGCCTCAGGGGAGAGGATACCCCAGGGGTGAGGCTGGGGAGTGTTGGATCAAAGGCAAAAAAGAATGGAACACACCAGGTACTAAGTTGGGGCACCTGCCTCATCTATGCAGTATGTACTGGTAGATTTATTTATTTAAAAGGCAGAGCTACAGAGAGAGAGAGAGACAGAGAGAAAGAGAGACACAGAGAGAGAGAGAAACAGGGACAGAGAGAGAGACAGAGAGGGAAAAAAAGAGAGAGAGAGATCTTCCATCTGCTGATTCACTTCCTCAGATGGCTGCAACAGCCAGGGCTGAGCCAAGCTGAAGCCAGAAGCCAGGAGCTTCTTCTAGGTCTCCCATGTGGGTAGCAGGGGCCCAAGCACTTGGACTATCTCCTGCTGCTTTCCCAGGCGCATTAGCAGGAAGCTGGTTTGGAAGTAGAGTAGCTGGAACTTGAACCGGCGACCTCATGGGATGCTGGTGTCCCAGGCAACGGCTTTTCCCACTGCCCCACAACACAAGCCCCTAAGATACCCATTTTAAAGATGAAGAAACAAGGCTGAGAAGAACTGGACTCAGAGCTAGGAACGACAGAGCCAGGAGTGAGCTGCCTTCCCCACCTCCGACGCCCAGTCCCCTCCCATTCTGTGAAGCTGCCTGTCAGAGACAGGAGTTCTAATGCTCGTGGGGAAGGGATTATTTGGTGTGTGTTTCACACGTGACTTAGAAGCGATGTGTAACTCAGCACATTGCTGTTGTGTGAATGTGAGATACCCAGCGTGGCTGCAGGTGGTGGTTCAGTGCCGAGCACCAGGCTGAGCCATTTCTACGTCCAGGCTCCTTCACTGCTGTCAGCCTCACCCCACCTGCAGGCGGGGAGAGACGGGGGCTCCTGGTGGAGAATAACCAGCCCCGGACCCCTGCTGGTCAGCGATGGAGCGAGGATTTGGACCCAGTGTATTGGACAAAGGAGGATTTGCTGTAGGTCTCTGCTAGAGACGGCACTCAGCTCTGCCTGTTCCGTGGCCCAGGGGGAGAGCCCCATGTGTGCTAGTGGGGGTGGAGGGAGGGCAAGAATGGAACGGGGGCAGGGCAGGTGCAGGTCCACACATGCTGAGTTCCTGCACCCACAGGTGTCACACCTGGGAGGACATTAGAACTCACTGAGGGGGTAAACTGAGGCTTCAAGCTCAAATGACAGAGTCTGGGTCCCCTGCCTCCTGGGTTGAGCTCCGGCCACTGCACCCGGCAGGGGCACAAAGCACAGGTGGCCTGGAGTTCTCCCGGAGGCATGGTCGCAAGGGAGGGCAGCAGCGCCAGTCTCGGCCCTGGCTCTCTCCCCACGGGTATGCGTGGCCGTGTCTCGGTAGAACTGGTCTACGATGACGTCTTCTCCGTCTGGGAGACCATCTGGGCAGCCAAGCACGTGTCGTCCGCCCACTATGTGCTGTTCATCGCGCTGGCCCTGGTGGAAGTCTACCGTGACATCATCCTGGAGAACAACATGGACTTCACAGACATCATCAAATTCTTCAACGGTACCCATGCGACCAGGGCTCCATCTCGGGGCGGGGAGGTCCCTTCCTGGGGGATGGAGGATGCTGGTATTGCAGGTAGAGGCTTAACCTGCCGCACCACAATGCCAGCCCCATAGCTTTCCTTCCTTCCTAAAACAAGATGTATTTATTTGAAAGAAGAATTACAGAGAGAGGAAGAGATAGAGAGAGAGAGAGATCTTCCATCTGCTGGTTCACTTCCCCAAATGGCTGCAAATGACTAGGGCTGGGGTTGGGCCAGGAGCTCTATTCTGGTCTCCCATGTGGGTGGCAGGGGCCCAAGTTGAACCTTCTTCCACTGCTTCGCCAGGCACATGAGCTGGATCAAAAGTGGAGCAGTAGGGACTTGAACCCGTGCCCCTCTGGGATGCCAGCGTTGCAGGCTGCAGCTTAACTTGCTGTGCCACAGTGCTGGCCCGGCTTTGCTTTCTTAAAAATCTTCGCAGTCACGCTGGGTTTTAGGCGAAGGGTGGAAGGAGCTGATGGTTTGTCGGCACTTCCTGAACTGTTGGTCTCCATAGTAACCTGTGCAGTGGCCGCTGCTCCCATCCTGCCCTGCAGAGGGGGCCGCTGAGGAAGTACAAGCCTGCTCCACCGTGTCTCCCTGCAGAGCTGTTCTTCAATGGGGGCAGCCGGGGTGGGGGGGCCTCTGGGGGAGGGACACCACGGGAGGCTCACAGGGCTTTGCCGTCTACTCTTTCAGAAATGGCTGAGCGGCACAACACCAAGCAAGTGCTCAAGCTGGCCCGGGACCTCGTGTACAAGGTGCAGACGCTGATTGAGAACAAGTGAGGGGCACCTGGCCAGGTGGCGTCCGCCGAGCCACCGCCCACCTGCCTGTCCTTCCGTCACTTTCCCTCCCAGCTGAAGGCCGCTCTGGGAGCAGGAGCGGGGCCCTGGTGTCCGTCTGCGAGCAAGGACTCCTGTGCGGAGAGAAACCACCTGGCTGTGGCTGCCGGCTGGGTGTGGCCGGGGGCGGGGCGGGGGGTGGCCCCTTCAAGTTCAGCCTTACGTTTTCCTGTTTGACCAAAGATGGCCGAGTCTGAGATCTCTCCCAGGTGGGAGTTGGGGGTTCTCGGTGGACGGGGGAAAACCGCTTTGCCCCTGCTCCCCAGAACGGGCTCCTCGTCCCCACCCCCTCCGCCTTTCCCTCCCAGCCCCCCAACTTGGCAGATGACACCTGGGGAGGGAATCTGTTGGGGACCTGGTCCGGGAGCGAAATCCAGGTCCCCCCATGTGCTCAGGGGCCTCTGCCGCCCCTGCCGATGCTCTCAAAGGTAGCTGACCCCTTCTTAGGGCAGGGTCTTTGCGCCCTGGCGTTACTGGTGTTTGGGGTCCAGGAATTCTTTTTGAGGGGGTCTGCCCTCTGCATTGTGGGACGTTGAGCAGCACCCCTGGCCTGGCACCCACTGATGGCGATGCCGCTGGCACCCCCAGATATTGCCACTTGTCCCCACTTGAGAGCCATGGGCGTAGAGAAGGGGCCGCAAGTGGAAGCCCCTCCCCACCTTCTTGCCACCACCCGGGGTCCTGAGACCCCGCCCCCTCCCTGAAGACAGCCAGCTTTACTTAAGAGTCCTGTTCTCCCACGTTTCTCCGTCCCCCCCAGGCAGGGTCCACATTGGGCTCCCCTCCCCCGAGGGAGGACCCCACCTCTCCGTCTGCAGAGGCCTGCACAGATGTTGCTGGTGAAAGCCAGTGGGACTTCCTCTAAGTGCCATTGTTCGCTCAGGACCCAAGCGGGGCAGGCAGGTGGGCAGGTGGGCCACGAGAGAAGGTGGAGTGCCTTCAGGAAATACCTGTGGCTGAGCTGGGGCCGGGGCCGTGTGTTCATGCACAGGTCCTCAATCCACACGTAGACCCCAGATGAGCGAGGGCACCTGACCGCCTGTCTACCCCGTAGAGCCATCTACCAGCTCTTCCCTTCTGAGGGTGCCCCCGGAATGGGGGGCCCGGGGAGGATGGCAGTGCCCGGCGGTGCCACCTCCGGGTGGCCCGAGAACAGCAGCTAGGATTTGTGGAGTGGGGGAGGAGGGTATGGAAACGCTGGAGAGAGGGGACCCGTTAGCCCTGCCAGGACAGGGAGTGGTCCTTCCCCTGTGCTGCAACCTGAGTGGGGGAGGGGAGCAGAGGCACCCCCTGCTGGCCCCTGCTGCGACCCCCTCCCCCAGCAGGAGGCGAGGATGGCGACAAGGCAGCTGCTGTCACAGCCCCATCCCTGCACCCGCTCCCTCAGCGTCCCAGGTAGGGGAGGATGTGCACAAGGCCCCCCAGAGAAGAGTTTATTTTGCTGCTCAGCTGTTCCCCGCTCCAGAGAATGTTATTTTAGCAAACCCCGGGGCCCAGCCCGCCCGGCTGGTGTTTATTTTTCTAACAGACTGGTGGCCAGGTCCAGTAGGCCGTCCCCTCTGCCTCCTCTCGGGGCGTTCCCGAGGGCGCCCATGGTCGTGACTGCCGTGAGCCGTGTTGATGCCGCTGGCTGTGTCACTCAGACCCCCGTCCGTCCCGTGTGTCTCCGTGTCCCGGATTCCAGTGCGTGGGAGTCTGTCTGTGGAGTGCTCTCTCGTGGTCAGTGTTGCCCACGTGGCTTGTGTTTCCTGAAGAGTTGTGTCTAAATACAGAGAAAATATATATGAACAGAGAACTACACGGATCGGCTGCATTTATTGTTCGGAGATTTTTTTTCCCTTTTGTAATTTGAAAGAGATGTTTGCTTCTAAGACTGTGTCTCCCCCAACCCCTCACCCCTTCGCCAGGGGGATCAGAGTCTCAGAGCTGCCTGGCTTTGCTCCAGAATGTTCCAGGCCAGTGTCACCTCCCCACCCTGTTGGTCAGCTTTATAACAAACCTCCCAAAATATGGTGCTGTAAAAATAGCCATTGGTACTGTGGGCCAACAGTCTGGGTGTTTTTTTTTTTTTTTTTTTAATTATTTATTTAAAAGACAGAATGACATGGAGACAGGGGACAGAGAGAGAGAACTTCAATCTGCTGGTTCACTCCCTAAATGGCCACAGCAGCTGGAGCTGGGGACAGGCCAAAACCAGGTGCCTGGAACTCTATCCAGGTCTCCCACGTGGATGGTGGGGCCCCAAGGACCTGGGCCATTCTCCGCTGCTTTTCCCAGGTGCATTAGCAGGGAGCTGGATCAGAAGTGGAGCAGCCAGGACCCGACCTGTATGGAATGCCGGTGTCAAAGGTGTCGCTTAACTAGCTGCACCAGGACGCCAGGCCTGAGAGTCTGGTGTGTACGAGGAAGGACAGAGCAGCCTTGGAGCTGATGGCCAAGGCCATGGGCACTTGAGGAACCCCTCTGCTGGCAAAGCGTTTGGGAGGCTTTACCCTGCCCATTCCATGGTGGCCGACAGCCAGTGAACTCCTGTCTTTCATCTTCTTTCTTCCTTTCTTCCCCTTCTCTTCTCTCCCAGGCCTGGGGTCCCAGTAGCCCAGGGGCGGAGGGAGGTGAGAGTAGTTTGGTGGGGCATGATTTCGATTTCTTTCCTTCTCTTCAGGTGCACACAGGTGTGACACTGTGGACCCATCAGCCAGTAACTCCTGTCCTCTCATTGCATGAGGGCATCTCCCAGATTTAAGGCGCTTGTCAGCCACTTTTGACCATATCTGTGGACTGCCCACACTGTAGTATCTTTAACAGTTTTCTTCAAATCAGTTCACTTTGTCAGCTTCAGACATGGAAAGCCAGAGGCATTTGCATAAACAGAGCAAAATGGGATTATTTTACCAAGATACTATTTCTTACCCCAGGCCTAAGCCCGGTGCCTGCTCTCTCTGGGTTTGCGAGGAAGAGATACAGGGTGGGCATCTGGCCTGGCGGTCAGGACACCCACATCCTGTGTCGGAGCATCTGGGTTCGAGTCCCAGCTCAGCGCCTCATTCTGGCTTCCTGCTCATGCACACCTTGGTAGGCAGCAGCCAGCGCTGGCCCAGATAGTTGGGTCCCTGCCACACACGTGGGAGACTGGGGTGGTGCTCCCGGCTGCTGGCTTTGGCCCGGCCCAGCCTCAGCTGTTGCCGGCATCTGGGGGAATGAATCAGCAGCTGGAGGCTCGCTCTCTCTGCCTACCTTTCTCTTGCTGTCTCTCGGCCCCAGTGAGGGAAACATCCACACTGACTCAGCAGTTTGCACCAGATTCTGCTGAGTCATGACAGGGCTGGCAGATGGCTGTAGTTTTGGCTTGCAAGCTGCCGAGCACGGTGAGGACAGGACAGGCACAGACTCTGGAAAGATGCAGTCTCAAATCTGCTGAGATGCCATTGCGCCCATCAGCTGCTCAGTCCACCGGCAGAGTTCCAAGGGGCCTGTCGCTCCCCCATTCGCGGAGGAATGACACTAGACCCTGCGCTGTTCTTTTGTCTGCTCGGTCCTTCCCGGGTTGGCTGCCGACCCTTCCACCTCCGTGGAAGGGCGGTTCCCCCTGCCACTTTCCCCACTTCCGCGGGGGAGCGGCACACCGCCGGCCGGCTCTCTCGGGGGCTGCTCAGGTGTTCCTTCAGATAGATGTTCCCTGGTGCCTGTTGTCTCTCTCCTCCTTTATAGTCCTCTTCCGCCAATCCCAACTCTGCTACCCACACGCCGAGCATGCTGCTCTCCTCCAATCAGGAGCAGGATCAGCTCCTGCAGCTTATCAGTCTGATGAGGCAGCTGTGTAGAGGTTGTTTGGTCTCTTTCTCTCAGCGCCATATTGTGGGAGAGCAGATGCATAGAATAAATCTTAATTCCAGTAACTTAGCCTAGTCTCAGTTGCTCCCCACAGGGCTACCGGACCGCGCACCTCCCGGGGCACTTCCCATGGCATTAGGATGCAGTGCAGGAATACACCGGGCCCCTCCTGGCTGGCTTTTCTCGGTGTCTGGGCAGAGTGATGTCCAGGGCTCCTTGTGCATGAGGGACACCTGCTTTTTTTTTTAAAGATTTATTTATTTGAAAGGCAGAGTTTGGGGCTGGCGCTGTAGTGCAGCTGGTTAAAGCCCTGGCCTGAAGTGCCAGCATCCCATATGAGTGCCGGTTCTAGACCCTGCTGCTCCTCTTCTGATCCAGCTCTCTGCTATGGCCTGGGAAAGCAGTAGTAGATGGCCCAAGTCCTTGAGCCCCTGCACCCACGTGGGAGACCCAGAAGAAGCTCCTGGCTCCTGGCTTTGGGTTGTGCAGCTCTGGCCATTGCAGCCATCTGGGGAGTGGACCAGCGGATGGAAGACTTCTGCTGCTTTCCCAGGCCACAGCAGAGAGCTGGATCAGAAGTGGAGCAGCCGGGACTAGAATCGGCGCCATATGGGATGCCAGTGGAGGTTTAACCTAGCACACCACAGCCACAGCGCCGGCCCCCACCTGCTGTTGTGACTCGGAGCGGCTGATCCAGAGCTGCCCCTCTCCTCTCTCTCTGAGTGGTCTTGCGTTCTGGGCTAGAGAACTGCTCCCTTGGGTCTTGGTGGGAGGGGCTCTGAGACACGGTTAAGGAACGTGGGAGCCATCGTGAGGTTAGGGTGGAGAGCAGGGGCATGTCCCGAGCACAAGAGGGTGACGCAGGGCCCGAGTGTGGGCTGCTCCGGGGTGGCCTTCTCTTCCTGCTTCATGTCCTGGGGTCTGCCTGGGGGACCCTCCGCCCCACACTGACGGACCTGCATCGCAGGGCTTCTGATCCAGGCTGTGTGAACACCAGCAGTGGTTTCTTGGGCTTTCGACGGCTCCATTCTATTACTTAGGAAAAAAAAAATGCTGTTAGGTTGTCCCTGTTGTTCTTTCTGCCTTCTTGGCGATCTGTATATTTTCAGGATAATGGAATCACTCCTAGGACATTTATGAATATTCTTGGGTGAGCATTGGAAGCCAAATGAGTTTGATTTAAGGTGAGCTGTGAGGATGGGGACAGAGAGCAAATCGAAGTATTTATTTGCCTCTGCTGTCGTCTGCAAGACCCGGGTTCAAATCTTACTATAGTTAACTGGCTATGCAGCCTTCAGCGAGTGACTTTATCCCTCTGAGCCTCAATTTTCACTCCTGTGAAATGGGGATAGTAAAACCTCCTTGAAAGAGAGCTGGTTAAGATGCCCGCCTTCCACATCAGAGTGCCTGGGTTTGAGTCCCCGCTCTGCTCCTGATTCCAGCTTCCTGCTACGGCCGACCCTGGCAGGCAGCAGGTGATGGTTCTAGTGTCTGGGTCCCTGCCACCAGTGTGGGACTCACCTCCCGGCTTCCAGCTCAGTCCTGCACACTGTAGGCATGTGGGGAGTGAACCAACAGGTGGGCGCTCCTTACCATTGTCTCTCGGCCTCTCAGGTGAATTTTTAAAAGAGAGAGTAAGCTGGCCATCAAATGTTTTGTCTGGGCCGGTGCTGCGGCTCACTAGGCTAATCCTCCACCTAGCGGCACCGGCACAACGGGTTCTAGTCCCGGTCGGGGCGCCGGATTCTGTCCCGGTTGCCCCTCTTCCAGGCCAGCCCTCTGCTGTGGCCCAGGAGTGCAGTGGAGGATGGCCCAAGTGCTTGGGCCCTGCACCCCATGGGAGACCAGGAGAAGCACCTGGCTCCTGCCATCGGATCAGCATGATGTGCCGACCACAGCGCGCCAGCCGTGGCGGCCATTGGAGGGTGAACCAACAGCAAAGGAAGACCTTTCTCTCTGTCTCTCTCTCTCACTATCCACTCTGCCTGTCAAAAAAAAAAAAGTTTTGTCTGATCAGCATGGTTTCCCTGGTCTAGTACCAGCACCTTCCCCCAGGCATCATTTGCAAGGAGCCGTGAGACAGGTCCTTAACTCCTCCACCCTCCACTCCAACACTGGCACAAAATCTCATCCGTAGTAGGCACTCAGCACTCAACATCTGATGTAACAATGAATAAATTGAAAACTTCTCTTAGAGGAGGAATTGTAAAAGGAAGGGAGAGAGAGGATACCCACGCATGCACGACAGGATTTAGCATTTGAGTGACAGCCATGGACTCAGCATTGCCCCAGGCGCTGTGCATCAGTGCAGCGCGTTCAGACCCCGGTCCTGCGAGCAGCAGCTGGTGCTTACGGAGCGTTACATGTCAGACATGCTTCCAAGTGCTTTATTTACATGGAGTATCTCAGGTGAACTCTCACGACAACCCTATGAGGTAGGCGTCATTTCAACCTCCAGGTTATGGAAGGAAAAAAAAAAATGTGTCCCAAGAAGCAAGTCCACTGGCCTGGGACCGCACAACAAGGAAGCGGTGGTGATGGGGTGCGAACCTGGGGACATGGCGACGTCGTAGGCTCGTTCGGCTCTTCCCCTGGGATTCTCATTTGCTCACTTCTGGCACGAGGATGACTGTCTCGGAGTCACTGGAGAACATGATGACCCTTCCCCGGGCCTTGGTCTCACGGGGCCACCAGATGACGGGCAGCAGGCTGGACAGGACGGCGTTGAAGATGGCCGTCACGTAGCCCCAGCCCAGCTGGCACTTCCCACCGTGGTAGAGGGAGGAGGTTTCACAGGCTTCCTTGGCGAAAGGGGAGGCCAGGCTGATTGGGAAAATCAGCAGGCCCACGATGGTGGTGGCAGCTGGAAACAGCCAGAGACCAACAATTTGTCAGTTTATGAACACTGGGCTAATGCTCTGTCCAAGGACACATCTGCCTGCTGCACACCCATCTGTCCGTTCTTCCCTCTCTCTCTCCCTCCACCCACCCAGGCATCAATCCACTGATTCATCTGTCCAATCGTGAATCCATCCACCTATCCATCTGTTCATTCATCCATCTATACACTTTGCCTGTCTATCCGTCCGTCCACCCATGTACCTGTTCATTCATTCATGTATAAGCTCACGTTATTTTAATCCACTCACTCAACTAGATTTCTGCCCATCTGCCCATCCACTAATCCACCCATTCGACCTTATTCTAATCTACTCAATATCTTAATCATGCCACCCACCCACATTTTCACTCGCCCAACCATCTGTCCATCTCCAAACTTAGCCAGCTGCTGCACCCACTCCTCCAACCATCCAACTGTTCTCCCGCCCACCCACTTTCCCTATGTCCGTCCACTGATAGACCCCCCACTCCTTCCACCAGCTCATGCAGCTGCGTAGCCACTCCCTCGCCCATCCTGGAATCCATTCATCAAAGCTGATCGTTAGCAGAATGGAAATCAAAACAATGAGATACCACCTCACCCTCATTAGGGTGACTATTGTGGAAAAAAAAAAAAAATACGGAAATGAGTGTTGGCAAGGATGTGGAGAAACTGGAGCCCTCGGCGCCACTGGGCTGGGAAGACGTAAAAAGGTTCCGCTTCGGTAGGAAGCGACTGGCGGCTCCTCGCGCACGAAGCAGCATCGCCAGATGAGACGGTGCGCTTCCGGATGTACCGAAAGCCCGGCCGTCAGGGCCAGCCGTGTCCTAGCAGCACTGCTCACAAGAGCTAAGCCACGGGGAGACCTGCGCGAATGCGGAAGACGTGGCGCGTGCACACGCGGAGTGGTTTCGATTGACGGGCGTTGTACGTACTGGGCGCCGTGAGGTTTGTGGGCCTCGCGGGCAGGCAGTGGCCTTCATAGGAAACGCAGCTGGGACGCCTGCTGCGACCTGGATGAGCCTTGAAGACGTGCACCTAAGTGACGTCGGCAGTCGCAAGAGGCCACGTTGCTGAATGATCCCCCTCCTGTGAGCGGCCAGACTCAGAGAGACAGAGAGAGGGGGCGGGATGGCCAGGGGCCTGGGGAGGCGGGAGGCGGTGTTCAGTGGGCACGGGGTTTCATGTTCAGAAATGAGAGTTCTGCTGGTTGCACGGCATTCTGGGTGCGTTTAAAGCCACCAGACCGTACTCCTGAAATGACTAAGAGGGTGCGGGTTGTGTTAATCTGGATAAGAAGAGTTCAAAGACAGCCTGCAAGAGGTGCTGTGCTGGCCACTAACGACTGGCACGACCTGGACACCTCCTGGGCCTCGGAGTCACTCCCCGGGCAGAGGAATCACTGACCTGCCCTCCCTTCTGTCTCCAGGCAGCCACACTGGTCTGCTTCCGGTTCCCTGCACATGCCCCGCCCTCCTGGCCCCCATGCCCTCAGTGTTCCCCTAACCCAGCTGACTCCCCCTCCTCTCTGCAGACTCAGCTCCAAGGACGCCTCCTCCAGGGAGCTTGCCTTGATGCGCTCCACACCATGTCAGGCACCTCCTGGGGGTTTGGCTGGCATTCTGTGCTCATCTCCACCAATGGCGTGGAGTGGGCTATGGTGGGGGTGTGGCCTCAGTGCACTCCAAAGGTTCATGTGTTCAAATCAAACGCTTGGGGTTGGCACTGTGGCGTAGTGGGCTAAGCCTCCGCCTGTATTGACGACATCCCATATTGGCGCCAGTTCGAGTCCCAGCTGCTCCACTTCCGATCCAGCTCCCTGCTGGTAGCCTGGGAAAGCAGCAGAAGATGGCCCAAGTGCTTGGGCCCCTGCACCCATGTGGGAGACTGGAAGAAGTTCCTGGCTCCTGGCTTTGGATCAGCCCAGCTCTGGGGATATGGGGAGTGAACCAGCAGATGAAAGACCTCTCTTTCTCTGTCTCTCCCTCTCTCTGTCTGTAACTCTGACTCTCAAATAAATAAATAAATCTTTAAAAAAAAATCGAATGCCCATTGTGAGGAACTGAGATTATGGAACCTAATCCAGTGATGGTGTTTGGAGGGGATTACGACTGGATGAGGGCTGCTCAGATTGGATCCTGGTGGCTACAGAAGAGAGAAGAGGAAGGAGGAGGAAGGAGAGGGGGGAGGAGGAGGAGAAGCAGGGGGAGGAGAAACACACACACACACACACACACACACACACACACACACGCTTCCCGTCTCTGGCACAGGACGCCCTGCACTGCCCCGGGACCGCGCCAGCAAGAAGAGCCAGCACTTGGTGCAGGCCCTTGACCTTGGACCTCCAACACTGTGTTCTAAATAAATCCCTCCTCTTTGTAAATTACCCAGTCTCGGATATTTCACTGTACTGACACAACCTGGGCTAAGACGCGACGTACTGATGCGATGCGTGCGAGCCAGCCTCGAGCCTGGGCTCTGTCTTCAGGCACAGATCCTGCAAATCTCTGGGGCAGTGATCACGTGTGGAGCGCCACGCCACGTGTGGGCACTATCGACTACACAGCCATGGCCTTGTGCTTGGGGACCTGAGTTCTAGCAGAGAAAGAGGGAGACAGCAATCCTGTGGGACGATGGGAAATTGCAGGTGTGTGAGTCTGTGCTGTGGAATACACAAACCAAGGTAAGAGAGGGAGAGCAGGTGTGACCCGTGTGAGCCACAGAAAGCAAGCCGGTGGGGCTCGGCACCCCGAGCCTGGTGCGGGAACAGGGCTGGGTCGGGGGAGCCTCAGAGGCCATGGTAAGGACTTTGGATTTCACTTGGAGGGTGGCAGGAAGCCACTGGAGGCTGGACAGGCCAGTGCAAGTGGCACGATCTGATTTCAGTTCCGCAGCACCTGTCTGTCCAGTGTCTGGCTGGGAGAGGCGGCAGCAGAGGGACCAGAGAGGACCTTAGTGCCATAATCCAGGAGAGAGGTGAAGTTAATTGGATGAGGCTCACAATCAAGGGCGGGGCTAAAAGCATGCAGAGGCTGTGTGTGCTTTGGAGGTGAGCAGCCTTGCGGGGCATGGGCTAGAAGTGAGCATCATCTCAGCTCTCACCTGGGCACACCGTGCAGTGCACAACCTGCCCAACTGTGTGTGATGTTCCCAGTAAAGGTGACACAAAGTGAATGAATGAGAGAGAAGTGAAGAGGGACTGATTATTAGGACTGGGCTGGCTAAAGGACCAGGAATAGTCTCCCAGTTTAGCGTTTATCTCTGGGTTCTGACCGAGGAAGCCAGACTCTACTCACAGGCTCATTCATTCATTCATTCATTACCTGCCGCTGCCTGCACCCCAGGCATTGGGCCACTGCCCCTCCTGGGGCACAGCCCTTTGGGAGCCAGGGCCCAGGACAGGAGGAGAATGGCATTGAAGGCCAGCAGGAGCCAGCCTCCGAGGAGCATCACGGCTGAGACCTGAAGGAAGCAGAGAGGAAAAGGAGTCGGGTGGGGGGCAGGTGCATGCCCCCTCCGCCTGCTTAACCACCAGCTACTGAGTCCTCACAACACCCCCATGAGGCCCCAGCTGTTATCACCTCCATCTTAAACAGAGGGCCAGGGAATTAGAGCCATTTGCCGTAGGACACACAGTTCCACTGAGTGGTAGAGCCAGAATTAAGATCCGGATCAACTGACCACTGTGTCCCACCTTTATTAAGAACTTGTCACCTGGGGCCAGTGCTGTGGTGTAGCAGGTGAAAGCTCCAACATCCCATGTGGGCGCTGGTTTGAGTCCCGGCTGCTCCACTTCTGATCCAGCTCCCTGCTAATGTGCCTGGGAAAGTAGCAGAGGATGGCCCAAGTCCTTGGGTCCCTGCACCACGTGGGAGACCTGGAAGAAGCTCCTGGCTCCTGGCTTCGGATTGGCCTCTCTCTGGCGCATGCTGTCTCTCTGTAACTCTGCATCTCAAATAAATAAATCTTAAAAAAATAAGAACTTGGGAAACCACTACTCCAAAAGAACTTATTTCTAATTCTTTGAAAACATGCTTGATCTCCTCTATTAAAAAAAAAAAAAAAGGACTTGCCACCTGTCAGGGTCACCTGTCAGGGCCACCTGTTGGGATCACCTGTCAGGCACCTGCTGATGCTGGGATGGCACTTTGGTGAAGACTGGGCTTCTCTGTGGGTTTTTGTTCTTGGCTACGGTGTGAACAGCCAGCACTTAAAAATATTGTATTAGGCTGGCGCCGCGGCTCACTAGGCTAATCCTCCGCCTAGCGGCGCCGGCACACCGGGTTCTAGTCCCGGTCGGGGCGCCGGATTCTGTCCCGGTTGCCCCTCTTCCAGGCCAGCTCTCTGCTGTGGCCAGGGAGTGCAGTGGAGGATGGCCCAAGTGCTTGGGCCCTGCACCCCATGGGAGACCAGGAGAAGTACCTGGCTCCTGGCTCCTGCCATCGGATCAGCGCGGTGCGCCGGCCGCAGCGCGCCGGCCGCGGCGGCCATTGGAGGGTGAACCAACGGCAAAGGAAGACCTTTCTCTCTGTCTCTCTCTCTCACTGTCCACTCTGCCTGTCAAAAAAAATAAATAAATAAATAAATAAAAAAAAATATTGTATTATTTGGGAGATAGATAGGTAGGTAGATAGACAGAACTCCCAATGCTGGTTCACTCCCCAAATTCCCTCAGCAGCTGGGGCTGAGCCAGGCAGAAGCCAGGAGCTGGGAACTCCATCCAGGTCTCCCATGGGAGAGGCAGGGACCCTGAGCCATTACCTGCTGTGTACATCAGCAGGAAGCCAGAACTAGAAATGGGATTAGAGACAACTCGAAGCGAGATCCTCTGATATGGGATGAGGGTGTCCCAAGCAGTGTGCACCAAACACCCAGCGCTTGGGAGATCAGTCCTAGAGGTTGTATCCTCTTCCTGAGAGGTGCTGGACCCCGAGTCCTTATTCTCTCCATTGTTGATTTTGATAACATGCATTGCTATGGGGACTTGAACATCTCAGCTCTCATTTTCATCCCTAGAATGATTAGAGGGTGGCAAGATAGGAATGTACAGGTTGTTCACTGCACAGCTCTGGGAGATGCCCTTGAGGGTCATGGGATTTGCACAACAATTATAATGATGATCCAGCAGAGGGCAGTGTTGTGTCCTGAACGAGGAGTGCATTTTTCTAACTGCACAAAGATGCTAACTGAGCTGGCAGCTACTGTTGGCATCCCAGGTATTTGCAAAAAATATAGGGGAGCCAGACCCCACCCCTCCCCGGAGAGTCAGTCTCTGGGGGCAAAGCCCGGACCTCCACAGGTGTAACAGCCTTGGGGTTCAACATTTAGGGGAGCCCAGTGGGGGGCTCACAGGCCCTGGGACTCCCAGGCAGCAAGGAGAGGCCCCTCGAAGCCCACTCTGCAGAGTCGGCTGCCCTGCCCCGATGGGCTTTGCCCCTGCCTCACCTTCCAGGCAAAGTCGGGAATCTCCTGTAGGGACTGGAAGGTCTCGCAGCTCTGGTTCCAGCTGTCACCCGGAGGCGACGAGCAGTAGGCGAGGACGCCAAAGGAGAAGGTGGGGGTCTCGAGCCAAGCTGGGGAGATGAGGCTGAGGGCCGAGATGCAGGCAAGGGCAAGCCCCAGAGCTGCCCACACGCTGCCCACCATGAGGAGGTGCCGGTGACCTAGGAAGGGTCCAGGGCAGGATTAATGGCGGGGGCTGCCAGGAGAGAGGCAGAGGCAGGCACAGGTGCTCCCTGGTCTGGGCTCTGCTCCTGCGGCCCGAGTCGTGGGTATCCGCTCCTTCCTTCCACCTGCTCAGGCACTAGGAGGTGTGGGGCACTTTATGCTCACAAGTTCTCGAAACAGAACCCCCAAATCCTAGAAGAAACATCAATGCTTAAACAGACCCCAGCTTGCTGCCCACACCACCGTCTGCCCTGGTCCACACCGGAGCCCTCTCACGTTTCATTCATTCTCTCAGCCTGTCAAGCCTTCTCTGTCCCAAAGAGGCTGCCACTACTCGGAGGGAGTGCCTTTAAGAAATCCACACACAAACGCTGTGCCTCCGGCAGTCACCCTGCCGGTGCACTGGCTCTCCCCGGGCAGGGAGCATTGTCACTGTCTGATGCCCGTTGTTTGGTTTGGAGGCACTTAAGCAAAATGAGGATTGTGTTGTGTGCGGGGTGTGTGTGTGTGCACTTCCCGTGTATGGCAATGGCATTATTTTAGGTAGTGCATCCTCCACTAAGCGTAACGTATGCAGGACTGATTTATGTTCCTGTGTGCACACCCACTCTGCTGCTCTTGGCTGGGATTGTCCAGGGGCAGCCCCCCCCCCCCAAGGACCCCATCTCTGAATATCACCGCATGGGGGAGGGCAGGATTTCAAAATACGAATTTCGCAAAGGCACACCTATTCCAACCAGGGGTGGGCACTGGATCCAGTGGCTCAGATGCCAGGGGAGACACCCTCACCCCACACTGGAGTACCCAGGTTCAAGTCCCAGCTCTGGCTCTTGACTCCAGCTTCCTGCTAATCCAGACCCTGGGAGGCAGCAGGCGATGGCTTAAGTAGTTAGGTCCCGTGTGGAAGACCTGGCTCCTGACTGCCACCCAGTCCTGTCCTGGCTATAGTGGGCATTTGGGGAGTGAACTAGCGGATGGGAGCCCTGTCTTTGTGTGTGTGTGTGTGTGTGTACATGTGTGCATGTGTCCATCTCTCTGTTTCTCAAAAAACAAAACAAAAACCCCAAACCCAAATGGTCCATAGCGAGAGTCTGGTGAGAATCTGTGGATGTGCTTGTGTTTGGAGCTGTTCCTGCCTGGGTCACGTGTGCAAAGAATGGCTCACGGTGCTGGGGGCTCAAAGACCCAGATCAACTGGCGCTGACATCCGCTCGGCATCCCGTGAGGCCTTCTCAGACACGGCTTGGGAATCCTCTAAGGCCAGCCCAGGAGCCCCGCCTTCGTGAGCTCATCCGGTCCTAATTACCTCCGCGGGCTCCGCCTCCCAGCACCATTCCCGGAGAGATTTGAGGATTAAGTTTCCCACGCTACCCTTGCAGAGGCCAGCCTAGTGCTGGCATTCTAACGCAGGTAGAAGGTATCTAAATGAAAAAGCAAAGCGATTTAAAGGCAAATCTTATGCAAATAAGACCAGGTAGCTGGATGATCTGCCGAGGCCTGAAGATGGTATGCTAAGAATCAACCCTGCCAGAGGAGGGAAGGTGACCCTGACCAAGGACACCTGGGGTCAACAGTTACTGAGCTGCCAATCAATCTGGGGCACCTCCGAGGACTTCCTGGGCCATTGTTCCATGACCTTGGGTCTCACCTTGGCATTGGAAACACAGCCAGAGTCCTGGACTTGGCAGCCACTCGGCCACTTTCAGATCTCCCAGCTCTGGGACCTGCAGCAAGCTACCCCATGGCTCAGGCCTCAGTTTCTCCATGTGGACCTGAATGTGATAACCCTTAGGGGCTGGGTTGAGTCAGGTTGACTCAGGTTGAGTCAGGTGAGGTGGTGGGAAGAGACCCAGGGCCTGGATCCTCCCCTTCCCAGCCATCTGAGCTCGGGGAGAGGCCCCACCTCTCTGGTAAATGGCGGTGGGGGTGTCCCGAAGTTCCAGGGATGAAACACGTGTGTGTGTGTGTGTGTGTGTGTGCACTGGAGGGGGAGGGGCAGGCAGGTGAGGGTCAAATTGCACAGGCTTTTCACTCCCGGATTAGACAACCCTCCCAGCTGCTCGCCAACAAGCGAGATGTTCATATTCCCTTGTGGGTTTCTCCCTCTCCCCCTCCCCCACCCACTACACCCAAATCAGCCTCCCTGCCAGGCTGGCAGGGTCCCAGGGGTGTAATTCCAGCCAGGAAGCCGGGCAGAGCTCACTGCACCGAGGCCCGGGATTCTGCCTCTCTCTGGTTGCACTCGTGGCTCCCCGGGGTGTTTCTGACCTTGAAAGGAGTTTTGTTCTCCAGATAATGCTCAATGTCACCTGGGAAAATCTCGCCGACCGTCTGGGGGCCCAGAAAGCTAAATGAGGGATTATAACCTGGAACCACATCCGCCCGGGCTGCACTCGGCTGAAATCCACCCACAGGGACTGAGCTGCTCCTCGGCCTCCGCTCTGAACCTGCTAACGGCAGCCGACAGCTCCCAGGCACTCACCAAGCCCCATTCATGACGCGGCCGTGCCTCATTTCATGTAAAAACCACAGCCACTTAACGAGGCAGGGACTGTTATCCCATTTTACAGGTGATAAAACTGAGGCTCAGGCAGCAAGCGGCAAAACTGGGACTCCAACGAAATGCACTGGACTCTCAATTCTGTGCCCTCACCCCAAAGTGATAAGTAACGGTTTAATTAGAAAGCCAGATTCCTGGGGCGGGGGCTGCCTAGGGTTGGAGGCTGGGTCAATGCTTTGACAGCTCTGGCCAGGGAGCGTGGAGGGCCCCAGGAGAGCCCTGGCAGGACAGAAGCCCAGCAGGAGAACTGGGCTTTGGGTTGAGCTGATCCCCTCCCCACCCACCCTGCTTCCCATTCAGGTTTCAAGGGCCTGGCCCAGTGTGTCTTCCTAAGCCCTCACCCTGGGATACGGCAGTGAGCAGAACGCAGTCCTTGCCTTCCAAGAGGTGAAAGTTCTGTGGGCAAGACAGTCACAGGATGTAACAGTATGGGGTGGTGGGAAGAGACCACCCGTGCATCCTCCCACGCATCCATCCACCCGATGCGTATTTACTGAGTGTCTACTGTGTTCCAGGAACTGTCCTAGGTGCTGGGGCTTCAGCAGCAAGGAAAAACAGACAAAGCCCCCAGGGAGGAATGTGCATTTTTTTTTTTAAATTTTTGACAGGCAGAGTGGACAGTGAGAGAGAGACAGAGAGAAAGGTCTTCCTTTACCGTTGGTTCACCCCCCAAATGGCCACTGCGGCCGGCGCACCGAGCTGATCCGAAGGCAGGAGCCAGGTGCTTCTCCTGGTGTCCCATGGGGTGCAGGGCCCAAGCACCTGGGCCATCCTCCACTGCACTCCCTGGCCACAGCAGAGAGCTGGCCTGGAAGAGGGGCAACCGGGACAGAATCCGACACCCCAACTGGGACTAGAACCTGGGGTGCTGGCGCCGCAGGCGGAGGATTAGCCTAGTGAGTGGCAGCACCACCCGGAATGTGTATTCCAGTGGGCAAGAGAGTATAGAAAGAAACTAGTCACAATGTAACTTTCCAGGTGTTAAGAAGTGCAGGAGAGAGACCTGAGAGAGTGGGGGATGGTCACATGGAACCTTGTGAGAACCTGACCTTGAACAAGGACTTCAGGAGGTGGCAGAGGGAGCCTTGTGGATAAGCAGGAGAGGGACGGTCCAGGCAGAGGGAGGAGCAGGTGCAAGGGTCCTGGGGTGAGCCAGTGCTTGGTGCATTTGAGGAAGCAAAGAGGCCATGTGACCAGGAGGAATGTGGAAGGGGGAGTGTGCAGGCCTTGTAGGCACTGATAGGCTTTGACTTTTAACTTCTCAGTGGGATTGGGGAGGGGTCTCTCTGGGTGGTCCTGAGCAGGGGTGCCGCAGGATCGGATCTGGCTCATGTTCTCAAAAGCCCGCGTGGCTGCCGGGTTGAGGCGGGTGGAGGGAAGGGAAGAGAGGGGCGGAGGCAAGGACAGGTGGGAAGGGGACAGGGATGAGGGCAAGGGCTGGGGTCAGGCTCTGGGCTCCGTCCAAGGTGAAAGGTGAGAGGTCAAGCTGACCGATGGTGTGGGCCTGGGGTGTGTGAGGGAACCTTCGGGAAGGTTGGCCCAGGGATCCAGAGACCTGGCTGGGCACGCGCGCAGGCAAAGCCCCACACCAGCGGCCCTGATGCAGCCTGGCTCAGGGTCATGTCCGGCTGAGGCTGGGAGACGGGGCCAGCTGGTCCGGGAGGACTGCTCCTGGTCTCCCTCCCCTCTTCTCCCAGCAGCACGGCCAGGTCAGTGCGGTTTCTGGCTCTGTCACAACTCTGCATCACCTGGGACAAGGGGTGGCCTCGTCTACAAAACCGAGGCCGGGTCCCAGAGCCCGGCGGGAGCGAACATTCTGGGGGTGCAGGCTCGGACACACACACACACACACACACACACACCATAACCCAGGCGCTCCTGGGCCCCCAAGTCCCATTACAGCCCCTGGACAGTGCCCGGGGCCACCCCAGCCTCCCCCTCCCCCTACACCGTGTGCCCACCTAGGCTGACTTCAGGTCGAGATGCCCCAGGGTGGCCTCTGCTCAGCTGCTGGCGCGTGACCTCAGGACTGCTTGCAGGGGTGTGTGTGTCCGTTTCTCCTCTCTCCTCCCAGTCTGTCAAAGCCAGAGGGCTGCCCCAGGGCGGGCGGGGCTAGGAGGGAAAAGGCGGCCGCAGGTGGGGCTGGGAGAGGGTGTGGTGCTCCCGGGCAAGGAAGGCACAAGTATGGACTAATCAGTGTGCAATTAAACGCCAGCTGCGGGAATTCCCTCCCCACCTGGGGAATTCGAAGCCACAGGAGCGTCCCGTGTCTGAAGCACTTTGTCTCCAGCACCCAGCACAAGACGCGGAACACAGTAGGTGCTTGTATTGCCTTTTGCTGAAAGCGACCAAAGTGTAACTCAAACCAGCTCAAGGAGAAATGAGACGTCTGGCTCAGGTAACTGAAAATTCTATGGGGCAGCTTCAGGCACAGTTAGATCCAGGCAGCTCAGCAACGCCTTCAGGCCCCCCATCCCCTCCCCCACCCCCACCCCTCCTCTGCATCTCTGAGCTCCAGGAACCTCCTAGGAGAGAAAGCTCCTCCTCCCAGTTAGTGTTGTGATGAACTCTCATTGGACAAACGCAGGTCACATGGCCACCCACCAACCAATCACTGTGGCCAGGGAAATGCAGGTGCTTTGATTGGCCCGACCTGGGTCCCATGGCTGCGGGGTGCAGTTTGGAACCTGGAGACAGGGCATGAGAGTCACCCCTGGAGCTCCGCAGGTGGAGGCTGGGACGGGGGTGGTTCCCGGGAGGCGGAGTGAAGTGCTCTCAGCAAAGAAGGGGGGACGGAAGCTTAGCGGTGGGGAGCAGGGGCGGCCCCACAGGGCCCAGGGAGCACTGGCTGAGCAAGTGAGCTCGGGGCCGCTGGGGCTGAGCTAGGCAGGGGGTTCCGTGCAGAAGACCTGGGAGGAAGCCGGAGACACGGCTCGAGTCCCCGCTCCGCCCCCTGCAGGCGGTGCGGCCTCCCCCGCTGCTCTCAGCCTCAGTTTCCCCACGTGCCATACACAGACGCATGGAGCCGCTGACTGCCAGGGCTTTGTCCTGCTCACCTGGTCACTGATCTCTGTTTGCTTCTTCCGGTCAGGACTGGCTGAAGGACTTTGGGGTCTGGGTCCCAGGCCTGGTGCTGCGTGTCAGGCTTGGCTGGGGTGTCTTCCCGGGTGTGCTTGCCTGGGTGCTTCAGCGCTGGCGCCATCCAGCCCCCACTCGCCTCCCCACGCAAGGCAGCCGCAGCCACGTGGCTGGCGAGGCCGGGGGTGACCTGGCCTGCATCACGGCCCAGGCTCCCAACACCCTCAGCGGCCATCCAAGCCGACCTGCGGGGCCCCTCTTCTTCCAGGCGAAGCTCTGTGCATGGAGCCAGCTTCCCTGGTGGCGTTGGGCCCCCGTGGTCACTAATGAGGGACAGGAGAGGGGAGGGGCCTGCAGGTGCAGTCCCCGCCCATCAGCCCCCCACCCGCTCTGATTCCTGATGGGAGTCCAGGGGAGCTATGCCTTCCATTTGCTTTCGCTCCCAGGCCTGCCTCGCTGTCCCCTTGCCCTTCACCCTCGCTGGCTGGGCTCTCACCGCCGCGGTTAGCAGTTCCCCCAGGCCCTGTTTCCCAGGGCAGCCAGGCCGAGACGCTGGCTGTGTGCGCCTGGGCAGCCGACTTAGCTTCTCCGAGCTCAGCAGAGCTTCCTGTAGAATGGGCGCGACAGCTCCCGAGCCAGCACGCAGAAAGGGCTCGGCTTCGCCCGCGACGGCTGTCACTCACATCAGGCACAGCCAGGGCGGGCTTCGTGGAGGCCTGGCGGTTACAGGTCAGCTGGGAGGCCCGTGTAATGGTTAACCAGGTCCCGGGCCTGCTCAGAGGCGAAAGGAAAAACCCAGCGACCTGCTGCTGGCTCTCCCCGGTTCCCCACAGCGGCTCTGTACGTTGCAGTGGATTCAGATTAAATAGAAGCCGAGCAGTTCCGGTTCCACCGGCTCGGGCGTCTCCCCTGGCCAGCACCGGCTTCACCACTGGAGGGCCAGAGCGTCTGAGAAAGGGCACCCAAATCGGGACAGACTTCCTGGAGGAGGGGGCGGAAGACGGTAGGGAATGGGTTCCGAGAAGTTCCGTGAGAGCCCTTGCTCTCCAACCTCAGGAAGAGAAGAGCTAAGGCCCTGCCAACAATGTCCAACCTGGCGCCTCTGCCCTCAGGGACACTGCTTCCGCGTGGGCGTTCGCAGCCCGCCTCTCACTTGCGAGGGAGGGCGCAGGAGTGCACCAGGAATAGCTAGGGCGGGGCTGAAACAGGAAGTCCCTCCTTTCCTGGGCAAGGAGGATTCTGGGAGTGGTAGTCCAGCGCTTCGGTCAGCCCTAGGATGCTTGATGCCGGCGCGGAGGAGGGTGGGTGGTCCCGGCCGAGGGCGCAGGAGCGTTTGGGGTCTCAGTTGGGGGTTGTGGGGTGCAGAGCAGGTGCAGAGGTCCTGCTCTGAGACAGGACCTCCCGCTGAGCAGAAGCCTGGCGCACGGGGACGTTGAGCCAGGGCGGAGAGGCCGTGGACTGCGCAGTAGCAGCAGCCACAGTCAGGTTTCCTGGTGGAGCTCGAGAGAGAGCGGCGCGTGGCAGGCCGGGGCCCTCCGCTCGGCTCGGCCGCACACAACAGAGCTGACCGTTTACCTATCGTTCAGTATTTATTGTTTCGGTGCACGCGCATATCCCATGGACATTCAGAAGCACCACGTCATGTAGAAGTCCTGCTGAACGTTGGATTTCGAAGGACCTTTTTTTTTTTTTTTAACATTTATTTTATTTATTCGAAAGGCAGAGTTAGAGAGCCAGAGGTCTTCCATCCGCTGGTTCACTCCCCAGATGGCCACAGCAGCCGGAACTGGGCCAGGCCAAAGCCAAGAGCCAGGAGCTTCATCCTGGTCTCCCATTAGGGTGCAGGGGCCCAAGGACTTGGTCCATCTTCCACTGCTTTCCCAGGCCACAGCAGAGAGCTGGATCGGAAGAGGAGCAGCCGGGATCGGAACCAGCACCCATATGGGATGCAGGCGTGACTTAACCCGTTAGGCACCACAGCACCAGCCCCTGAAGGATTTAACTTTGGATCCAACGGTTCTCTGTCCCTCAGGGTGGAGACCACATGGGAAAGCCCTAGATCTAATTTGATCCTATCAGAGACCCGGCTCAAGGTCGCCAGGCATGGAGAGCGTCCTGAGTGGGCAGCCCGCGGGCTCCGCCCCACCATGTCTGGTTCTGTCACCGTGGGTGAAGGCTCCCGGAGTCTCGGCGTGCCCGTTGGTAAAAGGGGGTTGGCACCCCAACTTCTTTTTTTTTTTTTTGACAGGCAGAGTGGACAGAGAGAGAGAGAGACAGAGAGGTCTTCCTTTGCCGTTGGTTCACCCTCCAATGGCCACCGCGGCCGGCGCGCTGCACTGATCCGATGGCAGGAGCCAGGTGCTTCTGGTCTCCCATGGGGTGCAGGGCCCAAGCACTTGGGCCATCTTCCACTGCACTCCCTGGCCACAGCAGAGAGCTGGCCTGGAAGAGGGGCAACCGGGACAGAATCCGGCGCCCCTACCGGGACTCGAACCCGGTGTGCCGGCGCCGCAAGGCGGAGGATTAGCCTAGTGAGCCGCGGCGCTGGCCGGCACCCCAACTTCTAAAGGATTGTGGTGCAGGGGTGGGTGTTTGGTCTCGCAATTAGGATGCCCCCTAAGACACCTGCCTCCCGCACTGCAGTGCCTGGGTTCATTCCGCATCGCAGTCTCCCGCCAACGTGCACCCTGGGAGGCAGTAGGCGGCTGGGCCCCTGCCACCCACGCTGAGACCCCGACTGAGTTCCTGGCTCCCAGCTTTGGCCTGGTTCTGACGGCTGCAGGCAGCTGGAGAGAGAACCTTTGGATGGGCGCTCTGCTTGCCTGCCTGTCTGTCTGCCTGTCTCTCGAATACAAAAAAAAAAAAAAAGGAAGGGGCTTGCGTGTAACAATACTTTCCCCTTCTTCTTACACAACACACACACCCCCTGCGACAACCGGGATGGCAGGTCCCCGCCAGCGCTCCCAAAGCCACGCACCACCACCGTGGTCTCCCAAGGCAGTATTACGTCAGGGCCTCCCGTTATTCACGCTCCGCCCATTTTCCTTAGCAGCACGTGTCGCCAGATTTTTTTGAGTATGTGCAAGCGCCCACAAAACCTGGATCTTGCAGCGGCTGCACGCTGCACGCAGCTTCATAAAGATCTGCTGAGTGAGACAAATGCCTCCCTAGGGTTCCTTCGTCTCGTGCGCGAGTGTCTACATCCGTCACCCTAGCACAGCCGTGGCAGGTGGTCCACACAGTAGGCGCTCCGTGGAGTCATCATCCCGGCCGCAGTTCCCCAGACAGCCGTGAGGGGGCGCCGGCGCCACGCGCCAGCTTTGCTCCTGCGCCCGCAGCCCAGGCTATTCCCGGCCCAGCGGTCACCCGGCGCCTCCACGACTCCCGGGGGCGCAGACGCCACGGCCGGTCGGTGCCCGTGGCGGGGGATCCCGGCCGGTGCCTGGGGGGCGCTCCGGGGACGTGGGCGGGCACGTGAGCAATGTTTCCACTCGGACGCGGAGCGCTCTGGGTTCGAGGGGCGGCAGGGGCGTCCCGGGTCAACCAGCGCGCGGCCTTTGCCAAGCCCGACAGTCCCCAGGCCCAGGCCGGGGGCTACGGGCTGGGGTCCGGGAGGCCGCGCTCCGCCCCGGGCCGCTGCGCGCAGGCGCCGCCGGCCGCCGTTCCCATGGCGACGGGGGCGCGTCCCCGCCCGAGGCCCCGCCCCCAGCAGGCTAGGCTGCGCGGGGCCGCGCGCGGGCAGGCAG